CAGATTTCCAGATAAGAGCAGAGCAGGAGGTCAGGTTAAGACTTGCATTCAACTCAAAGTATTTGAAGCAGTCTCTGACACGCTGGGTCTGTGTGCGTCAGCATGGATTGCAAAAGAAAAAGCCTCCACCCGTGCAATAAAATGTAATACTTCAATGCCTTTTTTGGCATTTTTTCAGTGGTAAAGTCTAGGTTGACAGAAATTAAAAGTGCATTTTGTCTCTGGGACACTACAGGATTAAGGTCAAATTTATGCTTTTGTCAATGGAGTCTGATGTATTTAAAGAGAGTGAAGTAGTATTCTGTACCGCTAAGGGGGGACACATCTCTAAGCAGGTTGACCAATCACAATAGAGCCATCCAGCTAACCAATCAGAGCAGACTGGGCTCTGGTTTCAGACAGAGGGTGAAAAGAGGTGCTGCAGCACAGGCAGTATGAGAAAAAAAGCTTTTTGAACATTAAAGCATGGAGACATGTCCCAGTAGAGACACTATATACTGATATACACCTGAACATCAGCAGGAGAGGACTCTTTAAAGTAGAGACACTACATACTGATATACACCTGAACATCAGCAGGAGAGGACTCTTTAAAGTAGAGACACTACATACTGATATACACCTGAACATTAGCAGGAGAGGACTCTTTAAAGTAGAGACACTACATACTGATATACACCTGAACATCAGCAGGAGAGGACTCTTTAAAGTAGAGACACTACATACTGATATACACCTGAACATTAGCAGGAGAGGACTCTTTAAAGTAGAGACACTACATACTGATATACACCTGAACATCAGCAGGAGAGGACTCTTTAAAGTAGAGACACTACATACTGATATACACCTGAACATCAGCAGGAGAGGACTCTTTAAAGTAGAGACACTACATACTGATATACACCTGAACATCAGCAGGAGAGGACTCTTTAAAGTAGAGACACTACATACTGATATACACCTGAACATCAGCAGGAGAGGACTCTTTAAAGTAGAGACACTACATACTGATATACACCTGCACATGAGAAGAATGTGTCCTATTCAAGGTCATATCACTCTCTTCTAAGATACCAGACTCCATTGACAAAAGCAGTCATTTTAGCTTGGACAATAGGGACTTGCTTGTCTCCTGTTTCTTTTATCAGTTAGTTTCTTGTGTTATAGTGGGACTTTATTGACATGTTAAATCACACAAGTCCCACACTAACTCAAAATAACCAACCAATCGAAGCAGCCGTATTCCGAGCAACTCCCATATTCTGAAAGGTTAAATTACTCTTTTTGTCAATGGACTCTGGTGGGCTTTTCTGGCAGCAAGGTTAAGCAATTTAAATATTTTGAATATAGGTTTTTAGGTGTCTAAAATAAATCAACAGCAGAACATACTAGCTTAGCTTCCTGCTGATGTCTGTTTCTATAAATCCACTGCAGGAAATACAATGAAGTACCTCATAATTTAAGGCTTCAGAGAAGTAAAGCACATGTATCCCAAAGGAAGAAACTCCAAGATGCAAATTCAGTCAGAATTTTGAATATCTCTATATTAATAATAATGTTTTCCTTCATGGGAAAAGTGTATCTGTTCATCTGATTGCTGAAGTGTGTGAGTGTGTGAGTGTGTGTGTGTATGCATATAGATGAACGTGTGAGTGTGTGTGTGCGTGTCCGCTCTCAGCCTGCAATTGTCAGACTTTAACACTCTTCATGTGGAGAGGATGAATAAAACATGCCGCTCTCTCATCATCAGATCAATGAGGGGAGAAATATGCAGCTCATCAGAGGGGATGTTTACTCAAGAATTTAAATAAGTACAATTTTGTGGTACTTCTATTTTACTCTAGGATTTCCACTTTATGCTACTACATACTTCTACTCCAGAGGAGAACATGCTACTCTTTACTCCACTACAGTTATCTCACAGCTTTAGTTGCTATGCAGATTCTTCTCATTAACACAACATATTTGTAACGTTATTTAAATAATCCTGTACTCAACCAGCTGCAACTTTAAACAGAAGAAGACTTACACACATATACATATTTGTTACAAAGTCCCAAAACCTAATCCCCCCGACATAAATAAACATTTCGGATCATGATTAAGGTACATTTTGATTGCCTGTGACAGAGTTCTTCTCAGGGTTCATACACCTTTTCACCAATGATTTTCAATGACTTTTCCATGACCTTTACCTAATTTTCCATGACCAAAAAAATTACTCTTTCTCAGCGGTACCACTGAAACATTTTTATTTTAACATGGTAAGCTGGAAAATAAGGTCTGCATATGAAACATGTTGTGCCTATCTCAAACAAATCAAATAGTAGGCTTACTAGCCCCTACAGACTAAAGCAACTGTAGACTAGAGGGCGTGATTGTAAAAATCTCTCACCAGCTAAATACCTCGTCAGTTAAATGCCATTTTACGTTTCATTACGATACAGTATTTATTATCGTTATAGTATTACTATTTTGGCGATTAGATAAAATATAAATTATATTTGATGCAACTTTAGTTATATTTCCATGACTTTTCCAAAACTTTGGGAAAAATATTGTTTTCCATAACTTTTCCAGGGCCTGGAATTTGCATTTTGAATTTCCATGACTTTTCCAGGTTTTTAATGACCGTATGAACCCTGTCTTCTACACTCTGGTACGAGTACTTTTACTTAATGTACAGCTCTTTACTTTTAATAGAGTATTTGTCTTATTCTACTTTACTGTACTCAGTTTCTTACATATCTATATGTAGTGTAAATATTGTCTTTATTTAAACTAGCCTTTAAAACAGATGCACCATGTCCACCAAAGCAAATTCCTCATATGAGTAAACATACTTGGTAATAAAACCAATTCTAATTCTGACTTGTTGTACCCCGGTCCCCCTGATGTAGGTCTACAGGTGTCTCTGTGTCTCTGTATATCATGTAGTAGATGATTTCCACACCTGCACCCCCCCCCCCCCCCCCCCCCCCCGCCTCCCTCCCTCCCTCCCTGCAGACCGGTAGCAGCCGATGACATAATCCAGGAAACAGGGAGCTGAGAGCAGCAGAGAAACTTAAAAGGGGGAAAAGTTTTCCAGCAGCAGAGAGAGAGGGGCCGATTATTACCATTTTTGGGCACACACACGCTCCCATGCAAGCCCAACCCAACAAACCACAGCGCACTCAGATTCCTCACAGTGGAGGGAGGAAAGAGAGTAGAAGAAGTAACACCCCTTCTCCAAACAGGCCATTCATACTCTCCTGACGGCGCAGGAAAGAGAGCCGCAGCTGGAGGGGATTCAGGGCTCGTTAAAGACAACCAATGGATGTCTTTAACGAGCCCTTCATCATGGAGTTAAACCAGGTTATGGAGCTCAGGTTCATCCAACATGTGAAGAAGGTTTTAAAACAGGAATCAAGTAACTATGACCAGTGGTGGAAGAAGTACAACATTTAGCTTATTGTATTTTTGTATTGACATGTATATTCTTCACTTCTCCTGCATTACTTGCACATTAGTCTTGCAAAATGATCTTGCACTATTTTCTACTCTGTTTTTTTGTCTTATATATATATATTCATGTTGCATTGCTGAATGAACCTGGGAGGTTTTTCATTGCCATATCTACACTGTAGCTACTGTGCATAGGACAAGAGAGCCTTTGAATCCTGAATCTTGAAGTATCCAGATACTTTACTTGAGTAAAAGTACCAATATATTATTGGCAAAATACTTCATTACAAGTATTGCACCTAATGAGAAAATAAAAAGACTGGGAAATTAACAAACGTAAAATAGAAACATCTCAAAATAGAAAATAAAACTAAAAAGTGAATTCATGTTGACAGTGATGAAGTGGAGTAGAAGTATAAATGAGCAACACATGGAAATATTCAAGTACAGTACTTGAGTAAATGTACTTAAGTACTTTACACCACTGGAATAAAGTAACTACTACACTTTGGCTATAGTCACCAATATATGCACCAAACTTAAAATCCGCGCGTAAAATCCCCAAACAGCTTAATTAGGGGACGCAAAATGAGCCATAGGGGGGTTAGCCCCTCACACACACACTTAAGCGTGGTCTAATCCACGTCGCATCATCAGATGACAGGAGGGCAGTGAAGCGCGTGGCTGACATCTGTTGCTCTGGAAAGGTGGGCGTCATGTCCAGTTTTTAATCATTTTCCTGCCCCCCCTCCTCCTCCCCTACACGACCCCTACAGCAGGACTCTTCAAACTGAGTGTTTTTAGAGATGTGAAGGGATGAAAAGTTTTGAAGCACAACCAGAAACCAGCACAGGTGACCAGCAAAGCCTTAATTCGGTTTATAATTAAAGTTAACAGTGCGTAAAGCTAATTAACGTTCATGCTTATTATGATCATCAGAGGTGGGAAGTAACTAAGTAGATTTTACTAAAGTACTGTACTTTTTGAGGTACTTGTACTTGAGTATTCTTTCTTCTTTTTTGTTGTACTTCTACTCCACTACAGTTCAGAGGTAAATGGTATACTTTTACTCCACTACATGTATTAATATATCTAGTTACTTTACAGACCTGGATGAATGATGTGAAATATAATCAAGTTTTAAATCAGACTTTAGTTCCACCTGGAGTAAATTCACAAGCTACCCTGCAGTCTACAAAGTCATTCAAACTAGCTGCACCTTTACCAGCTTTGAGAACACTTTAATGATCAATCATTATAAAACATATCATATATTATTCTGAAATGGCTACTTTTTACTTTAGGTACTATAACTATATTTTGATACTTTTGTACTTTGACTTGAGTAACATTTTGATTGCAGGACTTTTACTGTAACAGAGTATTCCTTCACTCTGATACTTCTACTTTTACTCAAATACTAAATCTGAGTACTTCTACTTTTACGCAAGTACAAGATCTGAGTACTTCTCCCACCTCTGATGATCATCCTCCTCCAGATCTCCCCCCTCATTTCCGCACCTTTACTCCTGAAAAAGGCTTCGGAGTCTCACCTTTCTCTGCTGTTTCTCCCATGCAGGGTCCAGGAGCATATCCCGATCCCAGTCATCCTCCTGGTGCATGTAGGCAATCTCCCCATCGCCATCGTACTGGTCCTGATCCATGTTATACATTTAGACTGGTTTTTGTATCTCGATGCTGGGTTTTTTCTTCCTGCAGCTCGGCTCCGCCACGCATTCAGAGTCGGTTTATGGATGAAATTAACGGTCCTCCCTCGGCTTCTTCTTCCTCTCTTTCTGTCTGTCTCACCCTCCTTCTTTCTCTCTTTCTCCCCACGAACTCTGCCTATTTTCTCTCTCTTCTCTGCGGTAGTTTTTCAGCAGCTCTCCGCGGAAGGCGAGGAGCGACAGACGCAAAAAACTTCTGCTTCAGACAAAATTGAATCGATAGCCGACCGAGCGCTGTGATTGGACGCCTCGGGGAGCACATGACCCGCCTCCTGGGAGCTGATTGGCTGTTTTGGTTGTCAGTCCTGAGGCTTTATATCCAAGGTTGACTGCATGTTGTTGGTCTGAGGTATGACTGTCGAGTAGTGTAATTAGGATAAAACACATGTAACGCGTTACTTCCGGAAACTTTCCAGGAACTTTTTAATATTTTAGTTTAAAAAGGGCTGACAAAGCTGTTTTATTCATATTAGGTGTTTCTTATAATTTATTTTATGTTTTATTTTTTGATAATTTTGCTACTGACTTCACGTCACCATTGCCTAATGTTGGGCTATAAAAGAACAACAGCATGGTCGCATGACTTCACGTCACAACCGCTAAGCAGTGGCGGTTCTAGACCAATTTGACTGGGGGGGCCAGGCTGGGGCCAGTTATTTTCTGAGGGGGGCACAATAAATGCAGGACGAAAAAGACAAAGACAGTATGAAGTAATTGCGCATAAGAAAACAATGCAATATAGTTATTGGTATTTGTTTCATTACACATTATTATATGCTTACCTTTAACCTTTGTGTGCTGTTTGGGTCTGTGGGACCCGTTTTCAGTGTTTACTAAAATAAATTGTATGCAATTTAATTATTTGAACCTGCTTTATTTGGGGGTTTCAAAATGATGCCGAAGTAACAACATACTGATACCGGTTAGTAAAAACCATGAATTAATGCTTTGACAAGTCTGCAGACAAGACGGCAGGCGAAAAACCTTTTAAAATGCCTGTTTTCTGAATGGAGATCGGCTAAGCTAACACAGTATATGCTCCGACCGTCCACACTCACAACAACGGCCTACAGACATGAATAAACCAGCGACTGTATTCGCCATGACACAGACAGTCTGTAGTTTCTGAACAGATATGAGGAGCTGTGAGCTCTGAGGGCTAACAGCTAACGGCTGATGTTGGTTTTGTGGTTCGCATTGAAGATGACCTCACGGCTCCGCCTACACTGCGTTACTATAGTTACTGCCCCAGTTCCTAAACTGTAATGGAAACGCAGCATAAAGTGAGCCTGGCCTACCAAGGCCTAACTATACCGTACTAAGCCGTGCGAGGCCCTGCAGTGGAAATGCGCCATAAGTAGCCTAACAGCCGCTAGCTGTATAGACTATCTACAGTATATACTTTTTAAGATTAGAAGACATTTTTACAATATGTTAGTTTGATTACATCAGTAGCCTCATAGAGCTACTAGCCTTAGCCTGGTAAATACTAATTTTGGTGAGATAATGCTCTACCATTAATACTTTTTTTGTTATGTTTTGTCGAATTTCTAAATACTTTATTACTAGAAGACTTTGATAGTTCTTCATTGTGAGCACATTAGCATACTGACATTAGCATTTAGCTTAAAGCTCACTATTCTTACAGCCTCACACAGCTGCTGTAGACTGTTTCAAATGCATTTTGCAAATCCACTTTTAACAATTAAATCATCCATTTATTAAAGACACCATAATGAAATGGAGTTATTCATCTAGCATGGATAATGAACATTGTATGAATCCAATAGTTTAATTTGAATGGAATGAATGTCATTGTGTTTTCTGTTAAATACCTGTAAGTTAATTAGCTATTGGAAAAAAGCGTGTAATTATCCCCGTGACTAACGAGCTGCAGTCAGCTACTTTTGGTTTTGTTCTGTGGTTCAGTTTCCTCACTGGTGACATCACGTTCCCAAACATTCACCCTTGGAAGTTTGTCCATATATGGAAGAGTGCTCCACTTTCTCCTGACTGCCGGGGCTATCCCGTGTGTGTGTGTGTGTGTGTGAGAGTGTGTGTGTGTGTGTGTGTGTGTGTGTGTGTGTGTGTGTGTGTGTGTGTGTGTGTGTGTGTGTGTGTGTGTGTGTGTGTGTGTGTGTGTGTGTGTGTGTGTGTGTGTGTGTGTGTGTGTGTGTGTGTGTGTGTGTGTGTGTGTGTGTGTGTTGTGAGAGAGGAAAGGGAGAGAGTTGGTTTACCTTACAAGGCAGACAGACCTGGACTTCCCTCTGGTGTTTACAGGAGCCTCTTTCTGACTCACCTTTCTTTTCTCAATGACTAGGAGTCTGTGGACGTGCCAAAATATTTAAAGCCAGGGTCACCTTCTAAAACTAATATTTGTTGGAATCCTCTTTACACTGGTTTGAGGGGACATTCAGAAGGTGAAGAAGTGAGCATGGAACCAGATACATTCTTGCTGTTAAATGGGGAAACTATTTCCTCTAATTTATGAAGAATTTTTCATTTTTAGGATTCTTCATTCACGGTTGAGGCATGTGAGAATATTCCAGTTAGCTTCAATAATTCAGGGCATCAGTGGATGATTAGCATAGTTTATATACAAATGATCATTTTGTTTGTGAAGTATTACTTTAACAAGAGTGGATATCCCTCTACAGGTCTGTGGTTAACACAAGCTGAAGATTTTTATTCTACGATATAAATATGTCAGTAAATACCCCACTGGTGAATTTAAAAACAGCGTTTGCTAATAAGTGTCTAAATTAATCAAGTAAACGTCATCACGCCCAACATTAGCCGCCTTTAGCTTAGCGGTGGTGACGTGAGTCATGTGACCGTGCTGTAGTCCCTTAATAGAGTGGCGAAGTCCCTCCCACTTACTTCCGGGGTATGGGACCTTATTTCGGAAAAATTATGCATTGAAGTCAATGGGGAGAGAAAACTTATCTTTCGATCCCGTTTGAATTGTGCCATGAATTACACATATGATGTTTGTCAATCTTAAAAAATCATTTCCATGTCAAAAAAAGTCACAGTTTGTCGTAAAACTGTTGAAATATAAGACTATGAAAAATACGCAACTAGAAAGACTACAAATCCCAGAGTCGCGTAAGTGATGTCACAATTGAGACACTACGATATACGTATAATACCGTATATATACGATCAGCGCCATATAGATATAATCTATCTATATGGCGCTGGCTAAGATAAGATAACTTTAACAAGATGCCTGTGTGCTTAGTACCAGGTTGTTATTATACCAGCAATGGGTCTTGCTCGTTCTTTCGCTTCCCGTCTGATGAAAGAGGAGTGTGTGGATCAAGTTAGCTACCTAGCTAGTAGCTAGCACGTTAGTTAGCATTACAGCCTTGTCATTTTTATTAGCCTTAACATGAAGTAACATTAAGTAACCCAAAATGTTAAACAGTAAGAGTAGTAGTCATATTTCGTGAACCCTTTGAATAGTACTGTCACCGGTGTGATCATTCTATAATACACCATTTAAGCCCGGGGGAGAAATGCTAACGCTAAGGTTAGCATCGGCGATCTTCTCTACTTCATGCTATCTGCACAAATGGTTGACATTAAACATTAAAACGACCAGGCAGTTCAGAGAGAATCAAAGGAAGGCAGGCAGGCAGCTTTGCATGACATTCTTCAGGACGTGTTTCATTGTGGTGATAGTGAGGGTCGTTGTGTTGACAAGACAGTAGTGACGGCCATCTTGGTGACGTCACGTGTGTTGTTGACCAGAGATGTAGTTCATTTAGCGTTTCACACAAACAAATGTGTTACTTCACAGTTTTACGACACTTTTTTTTTTTTTTGACTTGCAAAATTATCTTTTAAATTGACAAACATCATATGTGTAATTCGTGGCACAATTCAAACGGGATCGAAAGATAATCTTTCTCTCTCCATTGACTTCAATGCATAACTTTTCCGAAATAAGGTCCAATGGGGCTCCACCGGAAGGGGAGGGACTTCGCCACTCTATAGCCCAACATTAGCCACCTTTAGCTTAGCGGCAGGGGCGGTTCTAGGGGGGGGGGGGGGCAGGGGGCCAGTGCCCCCTAACACTGACTTTGAACCCCCCTGTGGCCCCCCTGAAAATGAAAAAGAAAAAAAAAATAGTTTATGATTAAACGAAATAAGCAAAAACAGTGCTAAGAGTCTATGTTAGCAGCTAGTTGAGGCTACTTTAGCACAGTCGTTAGCTAATTGCTAATGTCAGTCAGCTAACATGGTCACACTAAAACGTTTTTTTGTTAATTACCTTCCAATGTTTAAAAAAAAAGACATTGAACACTAGGTCACAAAAACATTTTGTAACATTTAGCTTATAAGAAATAAGTCTACCGCAAGCAGGCTAGTTTAGGCTACTTTGGCAAAGTGGTGCGTTTGGCGCAATGCTAATGTCAATAAGCTAACATGCTCACAATTATTAAATTCTGCTTTAAAATAAAACTCTAACATGTGCATAATGTATGTAAACAACCATCATTGCATCAAGAAAAACGTTTTTTGCAACATTGAATATGACTAAAATATGTAGAGTAGACACTTCAGCATGCAGCTCTTTGAGGCTATTAGGCTAAGCTATTAGGTAAATGCTAATATCAGTAAGCTAACAATCATGCCATAAAAACAAATCAAAAGTTATTTCAAATAAACCCTGAGGGAAACATGAACATCTGTACCAAATGTCATGGCAATACATACAAATATTTGATGAGATATTTGAGCCTTGAGTTCAGTGTTGGATCAGATCCATGCTATCGTGGCTAAAAAAAGCCTTTAAATGTATCATTTATATTCTAAGTGCTAATGAGTTTTTCCATTCTGTCATTTTAAAAACCCAGCCGTGCTAAAAAAAACCTCGATCCGACCCATAAAGCAGGAACTTGAAATTGGCCAGCTGACAAAGACTGCAAATGCTGGCTTATTAAAACGCATCAATTAACTCATTATAATTAGCCACTGAAATGGGTGTAATTATTCTGGTGGCACACTCCAGGCTGCACAGTTTGGTACGAGTTTACTTCAACATCGTACCATTCAGCAGAATCCCAGAATACCCTTAGAGGAGTCAGTGGAGAAAGTCGGGTCATGTGAAGAGCCGGTACATCGGGCCCGGTCTGGAAACTTACCAAAGTATTCCAGTCATGTCGGAAGGGGGAATTCTTAAATAGTTGTTAAAGCTGAGCCATGTATGGGATGCTGAGCAGAACGACCAGGATAAAGCAGCAGAGTTGTACATGTGTTTGGGTTTGTGGTTAAACACCATCAGAGGCCAACGGGAGGAATGCGAGGAGAGTTTTCCTACGTCATGATGCAGCAAAGGGTAAAAGCTGGGTCTATATGATCTGACTAAAATACCTTTAGTTATACATCTTAAAAGAACATTTCACCACAATATTCTCATTTGTGCATCAGTTACTCTTCAAGAGTTACCGTGAATTGCTGAAAAATGCCACCACAATGAATGAAAAATCCTAAAAACTAAGAAAAGTGTTGATGAATTGAAAGTAATTTGCAAAGATTTATCCAGTTTTATCATCCTTATACTTCATCAATTTGACCCTTTTTCACTAAAACCTTACTAGATAAAACACAACTTCATAAACAACCTCATGCTTGCACACACGTTCTATTAAATTACTGAAAATAAAATTACATTTCTGGGGAAGAAAAGTATAAATAATTTTAGTATTGATAACAAAATCTATGCAAAACATTAAGGTACAGTAAAAACAATGCAAGCAAAGTATTTTAAAAGTAATTATGGCTGATAAAATGTGTGATAAATTTAACGTACATTGTTAGTGTCCAAAGGGTTTTAAATAATGTGTTTGGTAAAAAATAACGGATGTTTGCTTCATGAATTAAAGGTGACATTTGATTTGAGTAACATATACAAATGATGAAGTAAATGAAGAGACAAAGGAGAATAACTGGGGAACAGCTGGTTTTTCAACCATACGTGTGCATTTATAGGTATGTAAAATACTTGTAACTGAAATCTTATGCAACTCAGACGGTGCGTTTGCTTCCCCTGCTCCTCTGGTGGAAGTCCTTGAGTCTTGTGGTTGTTCTGAGTCTGACCTACAGAGAGTAGAAGGGCGTCGCTGCTGAAACACACAGTTAACCTTCCCTGAATAAATACAGATAAAAGAAAGCCTATTGTGCTGGAAGCCTGGGGTTTGATTCTGTTGAAATGGGACAAGTAGAGCATGCTCAAGCTGTTAACTAATAACTATAAAATACATGTGATTTTCGCTTTTAATTCAGATGTATTGTACATATACGTCCGGCAGTGGCTCAGTCAGTAGGGGCTTGGACTGTGAGCCGTAGAGTCGCCGGTTCAAGTCCCTGACCAGACCTACAAATATGGAGTGTGGACTGCTACTTGGAGAGGTCCCAGTTCACCTCCTGCCCTGCCGTGGTGCCCTTGAGCAAGGCACCGGACACCCCCCTTCCCCCCTCACTCCCATTGCTCCCCGGGCGCTGTACAATAGCTGCCCACTGCTCCTAGTACTAGACTCCTGGTACTAAGATGGGTTAAAAGCAGAGAACACATTTCACTGTGTGCTGTGTGCTCTGCATGTGAGACCATTACAGAGGGGTTCATCCCTCCATATTCTATTCATATATATTTGAACTTTTTCCACCATTCTATATTATGTTTCTTGTGCATATTATGTATGGTACTTTTTCATATGTCTATTGTATTTGTTCTTTTTTATATTTAGGTGTTGTTTATATTATTTTTCTTCTTTTTTCCTGAGGGTTTCCTCCGCTCAGAGCCTGACCCCAAACATTGATGAACTTGCACCCAAGATGAGATGCCAAGTATCTGAACTAGCATCACAGAGCAGCACACTGAGTTTCAATGGATGTTTCCTTCTGCCCTTTTTTTCTTGAGACAACAGGGCATGTTTGTTTTTCTCTTTGAGGGAAATAGTTTTTTTGAAGCTGTTGTTGGCCTGTGGAGAAATGTACTCATAAGAAATGACTCTGGAAAAGCTGCAGATAGAGCCATGAGAAATGAATGCAACTGATTATTTAATGTTTAATGTTGTTTTTATAGGCAATCATTTAAGCTTTGTTAGTTCCAGGTTTAATATGTGCAATAAGTTCATTTCAATAAGTTTTGCAATAAACATTGAACCAGTCCGGCCCTTGACTAGTACCCATTTTTTTATTTTGGCCCACTGTGTATTTGAGTTTGACACCCCTGCCTTAGTACACCTATGATTGGCGTTGCAGGTGTCACACCGGCAGCCTGTAATTATTAATCAATAACCCGATGTAGACACACTCCAGTCTCAATGCAAACAGCCTTACAGAACACACACTCTGCCTCTTTGGATACAAACTATAATATAACTCGCCCCGGGGGGAGCATGGGGTTAAATGAAGGGTGTCTACTTCCTGCAGATAAGTGACGGCCACACTCAGGAAATTCTTTTTGACAAGAGCGCAGAACAAACAACCTGATAACCTCGACTGGGCCCTCAGATTAACCACGACACACTGTGAGAGGAGAGTAAGGAGTGTGAGGAGTTTGGGGATTGTGAACAGTGTGTAGAGTGTCAGGAGAGTGAGGAGAGTGTGGAGTGTGTGTAAAGTGTGAGGAGTTTGTGGATTGTGAGCAGTGTGAGGAGAGTGTGTGTAGAGTGTGAGGAGTATGAGGAGTAGTGTGTGGAGTGTCTCTTTGTAATCTCTTCCAGTAACCTCTGTTCACTCTGCGGTCTGCAGACGAGACTCAGCAGCTTCCCGTCTCCTCTTGACCTCATATGTGTTTGACGGACAATCATGTCTCAGTTTGGGGAATGGGTCGGACAGATTATCTGTGGAGGAGACGCGTGCACTTCGCTCGGCATCAGCCAAACGGCTCGCTGCACCCGCACTGCGAGGGGGACCCAAGTTCCCATCAGCAAAAACACGCTCTATGAAACCTGATGTACTTACATGATTCTGTTTTCTTCAAGTTTGTATCTTCTTGGTCGAATGCACTTATTGTAAGTCGCTTTGGATAAAAGCGTCAGCTAAATGTAATGCAATGTAATGAGACACTCGCACATGTATGAATATTACCCTCATGATGCGTCTATATACTATTTTAAGACTACAGAAAAATTAATAAGATACTAAATAAATATATATATAAAAATAGAAATAATGAAAGCAACAATAATGAATATTATAAAAAATACAAAAAGATTATATATCGAATACAATAATACAAAATAATCAAATGAGAAACTAAATATTATACACAATAACAAAGATATAAATATAACACATACAAAAATAGGATAATATATTTGTAAATATCTATTTACTTTTTGCAGCAAAATAAATGTATGTATTTTATATATAAATCTCTTTATAATATAACATACATACCATTTTTATATTATAAACAGATTTATATATAATTAAAAAAAAAGTATAATTAGTAATATTATTATTTATTTTAATCCTTAAAAATGAAAAGAGGCAGAAAATGCTGTTTTCAGCATATTAGATGCTTTTTAATTTAGAAAAATAATCATTAAAGATAAAATAAAATGAATTGCAGCCATCATCTGAAATATCATTACAATTCTCAGAAATATATATTTTTTTTAATTCAGCTCATAATAATAACTTCATCCTCTTAATTAAAAGCAAAGACAGCTTTTGAATTCAGTAAATAAAATATTCTGCTCTCGTCAGCTTTTGTTGCTCGAGGTCACGGCCGCTCAGACACATCCCTTTCACATGAAGCTGTGTAACCATGGTGACGGTGGTAATAACTTGTTTTCAGACCCAAAAAAAGTGAATTATAAATTTAAGCAATCAGCAAAAAAGACCCTGAGGAAGAAGCTGCAGATTTGTCACTAGAGAACAAAATGATTCTTTAATTGCATGGAAACAGAAGCGAGCGCCGGCGGCGGTTTTAGAACAAAAAGAGCGTCATCAACGCTCCGGCAGCCGAGAATCACTTAAAATAAAAATCAGATTTACACTCAGTGTGGAGAAATGAAAACGCTGCAACACTTTCATCCTCCGTAGAAACAGAGGAGCTCTGAAACACCGAAAATAAACACGGTCACTAAAATCCCCTCACCTGTTATCAACAATTTAACTTTTTTTAAATCTTCCATCTTTTACTGTCATCTCTGGTTCGACCAAAGGACTGATGACAAAAAATAACCACTTTCTTTCATTCGTAGTTCCCGAACGTCAAAATCAGTGCGTTTAAGACGTATAAAAAGAAATATCTGAGTTATAGAAACCCATAAAAAAAACACTTTTCTCTCCAATTGAACATTTTCAACGATTTCTCTCCGAGTCGTTAGCTTTCAAATGTTTCTCCGGTTTGACCAAAGGAATAATTACATTTGTTCAGCAACTAATTAACAAATGTTTGTAGTTTCTTTACGTCAACATCAGTGAGTTTGAGACGTATCAAAAGAAAAATCTGAGTTACCAATAAAAACCCACTTTCTTTCTAAACAAAGTCTTTTTAACGATTTGTCTTGGAGTCGTTATGTTTTACATCTTTTCTCTGAAGGAGAGCCTCCGTCGTCTGACGCGACACGAGTCCGTTTCAGAGCGCTCCCCCTCGGGGGCCGGGGGTCCTCCTCTGAGTCCGAGGAGGTGAGGAGGTTCTCTCTCAAGACCTCCTTTCTCAGGACCCCCTCTCTCTGGACCTCCTCTCTCTGGACCCCCTCTCTCTGGACCTCCTCTCTCTGGACCGTCTCTCTCTGGACCGTCTCTCTCTGGACCTCCTCTCTCTGGACCCTCTCTCTCTGGACCTCCTCTCTCTGGACCCTCTCTCTCTGGACCTCCTCTCTCTGGACCCTCTCTCTCTGGACCGTCTCTCTCTGGACCGTCTCTCTCTGGACCTCCTCTCTCTGGACCCTCTCTCTCTGGACCGTCTCTCTCTGGACCTCCTCTCTCTGGACCGTCTCTCTCTGGACCTCCTCTCTCTGGACCCTCTCTCTCTGGACCCTCTCTCTCTGGACCTCCTCTCTCTGGACCTCCTCTCTCTGGACCTCCTCTCTCTGGGGGGGAGGAGCTGCAGTCCGGTGGCGCCCTTTAGTCCCACGGCTCAAGGAGTCCAAAGTGAAGGAGCTGCTGCCCGCCTCCCCTCCCTCACATCCCCCTTTATCTCCAGTCCGGTGTCCAGCCTCCTCCGGGCTCAGACACACAAAGTCAGACGGACTCAGCTCCTCCTCCTCCTCCTCTTCCTCCTCCTCTTCCTCTCTGGGTTTCTGCACCTCCCCAGATGAAGAGGAGGTGAAATCGTCCACAGATATGCACGGGTAGTTGCAGGAGTCGACGGCGGAGAACAGCGGCGTCGGATCGGGTCGATCTTCGGCTCTGGAGACCACGTTCATGCGTCGGCGCCGCATCACGTTCCTCCTCCTCACCGCGCTGCGACGCTGCTCATCCTCGCTGCTGGAGCTGGAGGAGGAAGAGGAGGAAGAGGAAGAGGAAGCAGCGGCGACGGCGGTAGGGAGCGACGGCGAGGAGGAGGAGGAGGCGGCACTGGAGAGCGCAGAGTTTTCTTGGGGGCTAGGGGAGCGAGGACGCGGCATCGGGTCCAACCAGAACTCAGAGTCCGAATCCTCGTTCACAAGGAACCCCGAAACTTGGCTCTGGTTTCTCCTTCTCCTCCTTCTTCTCCTCCTCAGACGATCCTCCGTAACCAGTGAGGAAGAGGAGGAGTTCTCTGAGTCGCTGTGAGGAGCAGCAGCAACAGCAGCAGCAGCAGCCGGAGGAGGAAGAGTAAGAGGAAGTGTTGGTGTGGTTCTGGTGGTGGTTCTTCGTCCACGGGCGTGCAGCTGCATGATGGCCTCCTCGCTCAGGTCCGAGTCCGAGTCGGAGCTCCAGCCCTCGATCTCGCGGCGCACCAGCGAGTCGAAGAAGGCCATCATGCGCGGGTCCTCCTGGATCGACTGGCTCACGTAGTCGTGGGAGAGCCCGGAGCCGGAGTTCAGCACCAGGGAGATGTACTCCTCGTGAGTGTACAGGCTGCGGGACTTATCCTCCACCCGGCCCTCCAGATCCCCCAGACTCTCCGGCTGCTGGTACGGACTCCACGCCTGAGGGGGATGAACAATAATAAAGTCAAGCACATAAAAAGATAGAATACCAGAATGAGAAACAGAAAACTTGGTTTTATTACTGCAGAAAGTTCCCACATGTATCCTGTCTCATCTAAAGAGTCCTCTCCTGCTGATGTTCAGGTGTATATCAGTATGTAGTGTCTCTACTTTAAAGAGTCCTCTCCTGCTGATGTCCAGGTGTATATCAGTATGTAGTGTCTCTACTTTAAAGAGTCCTCTCCTGCTGATGTTCAGGTGTATATCAGTATGTAGTGTCTCTACTTTAAAGAGTCCTCTCCTGCTGATGTTCAGGTGTATATCAGTATGTAGTGTCTCTACTTTAAAGAGTCCTCTCCTGCTGATGTTCAGGTGTATATCAGTATGTAGTGTCTCTACTTTAAAGAGTCCTCTCCTGCTGATGTTCAGGTGTATATCAGTATGTAGTGTCTCTACTTTAAAGAGTCCTCTCCTGCTGATGTTCAGGTGTATATCAGTATGTAGTGTCTCTACTTTAAAGAGTCCTCTCCTGCTGATGTTCAGGTGTATATCAGTATGTAGTGTCTCTACTTTAAAGAGTCCTCTCCTGCTGATGTTCAGGTGTATATCAGTAAGTAGTGTCTCTACTTTAAAGAGTTCTCTCCTGCTGATGTTCAGGTGTATATCAGTATGTAGTGTCTCTACTTTAAAGAGTTCTCTCCTGCTGATGTTCAGGTGTATATCAGTATGTAGTGTCTCTACTTTAAAGAGTCTTCTCCTGCTGATGTTCAGGTGTATATCAGTATGTAGTGTCTCTACTTTAAAGAGTCCTCTCCTGCTGATGTTCAGGTGTATATCAGTATGTAGTGTCTCTACTTTAAAGAGTCTTCTCCTGCTGATGTTCAGGTGTATATCAGTATGTAGTGTCTCTACTTTAAAGAGTCCTCTCCTGCTGATGTTCAGGTGTATATCAGTATGTAGTGTCTCTACTTTAAAGAGTCCTCTCCTGCTGATGTTCAGGTGTATATCAGTATGTAGTGTCTCTACTTTAAAGAGTCCTCTCCTGCTGATGTTTAGGTGTATATCAGTATGTAGTGTCTACTTTAAAGAGTCCTCTCCTGCTGATGTTCAGGTGTATATCAGTAAGTAGTGTCTCTACTTTAAAGAGTCCTCTCCTGCTGATGTTCAGGTGTATATCAGTATGTAGTGTCTCTACTTTAAAGAGTCCTCTCCTGCTGATGTTCAGGTGTATATCAGTATGTAGTGTCTCTACTTTAAAGAGTCCTCTCCTGCTGATGTCCAGGTGTATATCAGTATGTAGTGTCTCTACTTTAAAGAGTCCTCTCCTGCTGATGTTCAGGTGTATATCAGTATGTAGTGTCTCTACTTTAAAGAGTCCTCTCCTACTGATGTTCAGGAGTAAATCAGTATGTAGTGTCTCTACTTTAAAGAGTCCTCTCCTGCTGATGTTCAGGAGTAAATCAGTATGTTGTGTCTCTCCTGTGACATGTCTCCATGCTTTAATGTTCAAAAAGTTCTTTATTTTTCTCATACTCCCTTCATAGTCTCACTTATTGTAAGTCTCCTCCTCTGACACATGGATCTTTACACCGTTTGTGATGACCAATATCTGAGGAAATCTGATTACCTGATTTCAATGGGAGAAGTCAAATGAAAGGACACCTATCATGCTATATTTAAATGATATATTGTAGGGCCATACCTATATAAGGTATATTTATACGTTTCTGTTTTCAAAATACCAAACAGATCATGCATTTTAGCCATGCCTCATTTCGCTCTATTTGCTGTTCTCCAGCCCTGTTTTTGCAGGGGGCTGATTCTGTGAGCTGCAGCTGACCACGCCCCCCTGCAGGAGAGGGGAGCGTGCTCTGATCAAGTCAGAAGAGGGGAGCGTGCTCTGATCAAGTCAGAAGAGGGGGAGAAAAAGAGATCTCCGTCCTCCGTGTTTTATTATATAGAGTCGTTATTCATTTGTTTTAAAGCTCAATAAATAACAAAGAAGACCATTGACCGGCACTTTTCTAATTTTGTCCGGAAGATTTAAACTTTAACGGACATCTTGACCGGCGAAACAAACTGAAACTGAAACTCTGCCGCACGGTCCCCTCGTTCCTTGGAAGAGGCGGAGAGGTGGGTGTTTGTCATCTGCTGGTGGACTAACCGGAGAGAATTACAGTGCTTGCCTCGACGGGGAGGGATTGCATTGAATTAAAGCAGCGGGAGCAAACGCTTGCCTCGGGGAGGGGGAAAGAAAGCCACAGCGGAGAATAAACAGAAGGGTAACCATGGTAACCATGCGCGGGAAGTCTTCTTCGCTGCTTTTGTGGCAGACTACAGCGCCACTTACAGGCCTGGCATATGTACTACAGCGTCTCCAGCGCTTTCGAGCGGCAATGGCCGGCCGTGGCCCAACCCCACATTCCCCTGATAGGTGGAGAGTTGGCCCAATAGCCGTAGCGCCACTTCTGTGACGACATAGAAGTGTTCAAATCTGGATCAGTCTGTATCAGATCCGTTGCAGCTCCTTTTTTAGAGATTTGGGTATGGAGGAAAATAGAGAGGGTTGTGTTTTCTGACACTTGGTGAGTTCCCTGGAACACCGGGGACACGTATTCATGTATAAAAGACGCACAAAAGTGCATTTTGCATGATAGGTCCCCTTTAAGAGAGCATTTTAGACATAGGGCTGCATGATATTTGATCAACACATTCGATTAATTTTTCTACTTTGTACCCAATAACACTGAATAAATAAAGTATTCTAATTAAAAGGGAATGATCGTTTTACATCATTATGGTCACTTTAATTAAAAACATAATTATGGAGAGATTTTCTTGCAGGATCAGTATCGATCAAAGACGTGTTATTAAGTGGGATATGATTTGACATATAAGCACCATATTATTTAATTTAAATGGTATTTTGACACGTTAAGTTAAATACAGTGTAACTGAAGACCAGAGGAGCTTTTTTATTGCTCTTCTCACTCTCATTTTCAGTCTGAGATCATGAAAAGAGTGGGAGTGTTTTTCTGATAACAAAACAACATGTGTTCAGTTTCTATCAGCAGAGCACAACATATCTGAGTGATGAAACTGAAGTGAGTCGGCCAAAACAAAACCAGAGGAGAGAAACCGAGCCAACATCGTGACGCTGCGACTCAGGGATTACAGAAACATGTGATTTAAAAAAACAACAGCTGATATTCTAGCAGCGTAAAAAAAACCTCAGTGTAGTGAGGAGGGTTTTTGTCAATGAACTTAACAAATCAAATGCTTAATTTAATTTTAATTACAAGAAGAAAAAACTGATGATGCAATAGGGATGTATTATTATGTCCCAAATAATTATCTAAATTATTTGTATTTATATAAAACATAATAAAAATAAAAATAATAATCCATCTTTTTTCCCCCTAATTAATATTATTACCTTGGTACCTTGTCGGTTAACATTGCACTCCTATTGGCTAGCGCTCCAACACATTGTACGTGATACCGTGACACCGCTAAGGGGCGGGACATCTAAGCGGTTGACCAATCACAACAGAGAAATGAAAGAAATATATTTTAAATATTAAAAGAAGAACAAAAATATATTTATATTTATATATATATATATATATATATATATATATATATATCTTCACAATATACACTATTCAAATGCTATGAATTTAGTGGCTTTAAAAAAAATATTCTACTCTTTTTTTAGTTATTTTGCAATTTTCAAAATAAAACATTCCAATGCTATGAATGTTAGGAATTCAGTATCCCATATATAGCGGCTCTTCAAAATAAAATACCTTTGTCTCTTTATTAAACACACAGCGCTGATGTTGACTCACCTTGATGACTTTCTCCACGCCAGAGGAGCAGATCATGTAGGTGTGAGGGTTGAAGCGCACCTGGTTCACGATGGACCGATGGCCCTTCAGGATCATGAACGCACCGTTTACCACCCGGCCTGCGCCCCCTTAAAGAAAGGAAAACAATGAGTTTATGTCGGGGAAAATACAAGTTACTTTCCTATTCCTATGTTATCTAACAACCATGGTACTGTGTATGACCTTGCAGCTGCCTCCTCTTTAGATAGGAGGAGGCAGGGCATAATTCACTTGGTTTATATACAGATGGGAAGACACCTATCTCTTGTCTTCCCACCCTTTGAGGGGCAAAGATCAACATCATCGTAAATGGAAATACCTGCATGAACGGAGACCTGCCGACACCAAACCGATTTACGACTATGAGTGGGACTGAATTTAAGACTATATAAGCTTGATGTGCTTTCCTGTTCCTTTGAGCAGCATACCTCATGTATGTGAGTTGAACCATATCCCTCTATGTCACATGTGTCAAACTCAAGGCCCGGGGGCCAAATCAGGCCCTTGGTGGATTTAATTTCGGCCCGCAGGATAATTTCTAATTACTATTAGATCTGGCCCGCCAGTATATTGCACGCACACCTTCACTCAACCCTGAGGGTCTCCTCCGCTCAGAGCCTGACCCCAAACATTGATGAACTTGCACCCAAGATGAGATGCCATGTATCTGGTTTGAACTAGCATCACAGAGCAGCACACTGAGTTTACATGGATGTTTCCTTCTGCACTTTCTTTCTTGAGACAACAGGGCATGTTTGGTTTTTTCTTTGAGGGAAATAGTTTCTTTGAAGCTGTTGTTGGCCTGTGGAGAAATGTAATCATAAGAAATGAATGAAACTGATTATTTAATGTTTAATGTTGTTTTTATAGGAAATAATTTAAGCGTTGTTAGTTCCAGGTTTAATATGTGCAATAAGTTCATTTCAATAAGTTCTGCAATAAACATTGAACCAGTCCGGCCCTCGACTAGTACGGATTTTTTTATTTTGGCCCACTTTGTATTTGAGTTTGACAACCCTATGTGATTTAACCCTGCTCCTTCTTGCAAGAATAAATTGGTACCTGATTATTGATTCTCAAACCGGTGTCGAGTGATATATTAATTTAATACAAAACACAGAAGAATAAGAAGTCATTAAAACCAACACAGACGGTAAAGTAATCCCCAGTAGAACCAACAGTCTGTTCCCGGTGCACATATTTTCAGAGTGAGTAATCTGTGGAAAAAATGAAGTCCATAAATGTGTAAAGGTGGAGCTGCATTCCTGGACGCATTTTTGGGATTTTCTTCCCAGAGTTATTAAATTTGACTTCACAGCGAGTTATTTTTAACTTTTTCAAGGGCGATCAGGATTTGTTTCACCACTATATTTATTCTTTAAATTACATCCTAAACATTTTTTAAACCTTTTGATTATTTCCTGTAAGTGTCCAACTAACGATAGCTGTGTGATGTGATCTAAAATAAGGTACAAATAAACCACTATTTATTCTTTAATAAATCTTATCTGAAAAAATAAAAATATTTGTTTTAGAATTACATCCTCAAAAAATGTAGGTTAATTCCTGAAAGCTTCCAACTGAAATTGGGTGTGTAATGTGATCTGAAATGAGTTAAAACAACATTGCTCACAGGCTTCTGGGTCCTTTGGGATTTTCCACATGTAGAGGTTGAAGTCGTCGGAGCCAGACAAGATGTACTGAGGAGGGAACAGAGGCATGTTCAGAGACACACACACACACACACACACACACACTCTAAGGGAAACACTTGTTACCCTCATATTGTGGATGTGACCCGATGATCACTTCCTGTTTCTGTTCCTTAATTACTCTGTGTAACACATGGCTCCACTTATGGCGCATTTCCACAGCAGGGACTCGCACGGCTTAGTACGGTATAGGTAGGCCAGGCTCACTTTATGCTGCGTTTCCATTACAGTTTAGGAACTGGGGCAGTAACTATAGTAACGCAGTGTAGGCGGAGCCGTGACGTCATCTTCAATGCGAAACACAAAACCAACATCAGCCGTTAGCCGTTAGCCCTCAGAGCTCACAGCTCCTCCCATCTGTTCAGAAACTAGACAAAAGTGAAACAAGTACAAACCACAGACTGCCTGTGTCATGGTGAATACAGTCGCTGCTTTATTTATGTCTGTATAGGCCGTTGTTGTGAGTGTGGACGGTCGGAGCATATACTGCGTTAGCTTAGCCAATCTCCATTCAGAAAACACGCATTTTAAAAGGTTCTTCGCCTGCCGTCTGTCTGCAGACTTGACAAAGCATTAATTCATGGTTTTTACTAACCGGTATCAGTATGTTGTTACTTCGGCATCATTTTGAAACGTGTATTACAATTAAATCACGGTCAAATATGTTCATTTTGTTGTAGTTGCCAGTGATTCTCTCACTAGTTTAGCATACTCAGCCCGGTTGTTGGCCCGGAAAGAACCTCGATTTTGGAGAGCCAGAAAAACTGTGAAAAAGTACCCGCTAGCCGGAACTACGCCTAGTGGAAACGCAACCAAAAACGGGCCGGGCACGGCACGGCACAGCACGCTTAAATCGCGCTCCGTGCTGTAGTGGAAATGCGCCATTAGACCTGTCTGTCGCTGCAGGTATGTTACAGGCATGTTCTTATAAACACGTATGTAACATGAAGAGGAACGGACTGAGAGAAATATCTGATAGCAGCAGCAGCAGGTTTAGATCCTGATTATGAGATAATGGGCTCCTGGGAACAGACATGAAAACCGCCCCACTTCTTTATTGTTGTTCAACCTGTTTCTGTGTCTCTTGTAGATGTTTAGTTATCATTTTGTGGGTCTTTGGGATGATTTTGTGACTTTTTTTTCGGCCATATATGTCTCTTTAATTAAGTTTAATGCCACTTTGTAGTTCCTTTTTGACTTTGTAGTTATGTAGTCATTTTATGTCTGTTTTGAGTTATTTTACGTCTGTTTTTATTCATTTTGTGTCTCTTTAGGGAAATTCTGTGACTTTTTGTGGTCATGTGTGTCTCCGTTTAGTCTTTTTTTAGTCATCGTGAGTAAAGGGTTTCTTTATAATAATTTTGTAATAATTTTTAAAACTCTGTGTTCCTTTTTTTGTTGAAAAATAGTAACTATCTGGCATGGCAATAAATCACATTAATGTTGGTGCCTGTAGCTTTAGGGCTGAACGGTGAACACCTGCAGAATCAGGCAGGAATGTGACACCAGCTCTTCCTCCTCCTCCTCTTCATCACCTCTGTGTGCTGCCACCCTGCTCTCTGATTTCACATCAACCTGAGAAAATCCTCCAGACTTCGGGACTCCATGAGGACGTTTCTGAAAACGCTGTGAGAGCAAACAAGCGGTTTCCTAAAGGAGAACTTCAGCCAGAAAGCGGTCCTTTGTATCAGTTCAGTTTTCTGTAATGACTTCACAGAGAACTAATAATAAAGGGTTCCTCTCTTTACAAATTCTCATAGAAGGCTTCTCAATTCTCTCATTTCCCCTCCTCGACTCCTATCCTCGACTCCTATCCTCGACTCCTATCCTCGACTCCTATCCTCGTGCCTTAGTCCCGCCCACAGGAGATGCGAGCGGAGGAGTCGAGGAGGGGAACCGAGGAGAGAGGAGTGGAAGCAGCAGGCGTTTAGAGAAATGAGAAATCCTCATAGAACTTATATAGCAACATTTTGTAGTAATTTGTAGTTAGTTTGTGACTTTTTGTAGTAATTTGGCATCTTCTTGTAGTTAGTTTGTGACATTTTGTAGTAATTTGTAGTTAGTTTGTGACATTTTGTAGTAATTTTGCCTTTTTGTAGTATTTCTTTACTTTTACTAGTAATTTTGTGACTTTTTATTGTTCTAAGGAACCTAACCTCTAAGTTTTAGATTTTCTTTATACATTTGTGTATATACATCAGTGATCAAAGGTCTTTCTCTACACCCATCCCTGTTGCAGTCACTAAACCAATCCATCTCCAGGTTTCCCAGTTGCAGCAGCTGATCCTCTAACATTACAATTCCTCCGTCACTCTTGAAGCGCAGGATTGTTTTTTTAAATCTTCACGACACCAGAGAATAATGCTAACATAACAAACATGTCTGCAGGGTGAGCTCATGTCTGAGGAGGAGGAGGAGGAGGAGGAAGAAATACAGCAGGAACTCATTATTCTATTTTTATCTCCACTGCTCCCACATGTTCCTCACATTTTAAAGAAACAGATAAAACAAAGTCTGCACGGTTTGTTTTCATGAACCAGGAGCTCGATCACTCCCCTGAGAGCGATATCTTATATGCATTATATATTTACATAGAAGGTATTGATTTCATAGAAGTGCATGCACTTGAACGGGATGATTTCAGACATCCTTTACTCTATAACTCTGCACATATTAACACACTACAGTTCATTGCATTTACATTTAAATAAAAAGTTAAAATGCAACTACTTTGCACAGTTGTATAATTCTTTAGATACATGTCTAGCTACTCTTAGTATGTTAATATTTACTTGTTATTTTAATCTTGTATTTTATAACTATTGCTTTTTTTAAACATATTTATTATATATTACCATATTCTGGCTTTTTACGTAAAAAATGTTTATTTAAATGTCCAATTATAATGCTTTAAAGGTGGGGTAGGTAAGTTTGAGAAACCGGCTTGAGATACACTTTTTGTTATATTCCATGGAATGCTCTTAACATCCCGATAGCAATGAATACATTAAATGCTTTGACAAAAAATACATTAAAAAATGTCATCTGTGGAAGCCGTAATACTGTAAAAAGCACGACCAATCATCTGAGCCGGCTCGGCTAAAATAACTGGATGGCCTACCTGCCTGTCAGCCTTCCATCTGTGCACAAACTTATCTCGTGCCCTCATTGGTCATGTGCGCGTTCGTGTGTGTTGGAGGAGGGGCTCTGTAAGGAAGTTTGTGGTTGTGTATTTTCAAATTCTAGCGCACTCGAGCTGGTTTCTCCAAAGTTACCTACCCCACCTTTGAATGATCTAACTATAATACATAATAATAATAAATTAAGAATCAATAATAATAATAAATGTTCCTTCAAATTCAGCACGGCTTGTTTTACTTTCTGCTTATAATTTCATACAACCATGTCTTTTATTTCCCTTCATGATAAGCGCTTTGAGCATTATGAAAAGCGCTATATAAATAACATTTATTATTATTATTATCATCATAAACCAAGTTTCCACCCCTCCTCCTTGCAGTGTTACGCTGCTCCTGAGGCTTTGAGCCAGATTCAAATAGAGCTGAAACTCAGAGAGCTGGTTTCTTTAAACAGACTCAAAGCGACTCTAAATGACCTTGAAGCAGGAAGCTGTGGCCGTTTCTCAATGTGGAGTATACCTGCTGCAGAGCCACTATTTCAAGTATACTACGTCATCGAGTGGCGCAGAAGGACTGTTTAAATGCATGTTAAAAGCCCAGCATTCGGCGCCACTCAATGACGTAGTATACTTGAAATAGTGGCTCTGCAGCAGGTATACTCGACATTGAGAAACGGCCCGTGTCTGTAAATGCTTTGGCTAACTTGGTGTATGACTGTGTTGTGATTGTGTGTTTTAAAATTGTCTGTAACTGTTAACATTCTTGGGCCAGGACTCTCTTGGAAAATAGATTTTAATCTCAATCAGACCTATCCTGGTTAAATAATGATATTTGTATTATGTTAGTATCTGCTGCTCGTAGTATTAATGATATTTGTAATATGTTAGTATCTGCTGCTCGTAGTATTAATGATATTTGTAATATGTTAGTATCTGCTGCTCGTAGTATTAATGATATTTGTATTATGCTAGTATCTGCTGCTCGTAGTATTAATGATATTTGTATTATGTTAATATCTGCTGCTCGTAGTATTAATGATATTTGTATTATGCTAGTATCTGCTGCTCGTAGTATTAATGATATTTGTATTATGTTAATATCTGCTGCTCGTAGTATTAATGATATTTGTATTATGTTAGTATCTGCTGCTCGTAGTATTGATGATATTTGTATTATGTTAGCATCTGCTGCTCGTAGTATTAATGATATTTGTATTATGTTAATATCTGCTGCTCGTAGTATTAATGATATTTGTATTATGTTAGTATCTGCTGCTCGTAGTATTAATGATATTTGTATTATGTTAGTATCTGCTGCTCGTAGTATTGATGATATTTGTATTATGTTAGCATCTGCTGCTCGTAGTATTGATGATATTTGTATTATGTTAGTATCTGCTGCTCGTAGTATTGATGATATTTGTATTATGTTAGTATCTGCTGCTCATAGTATTAATGATATTTGTAATATGTAAGTATCTGCTGCTCGTAGTATTAATGATATTTGTATTATGCTAGTATCTGCTGCTCGTAGTATTAATGATATTTGTAATATGTTAGTATCTGCTGCTCGTAGTATTAATGATATTTGTATTATGCTAGTATCTGCTGCTCGTAGTATTAATGATATTTGTATTATGTAAGTATCTGCTGCTCGTAGTATTAATGATATTTGTAATATGTTAGTATCTGCTGCTCGTAGTATTAATGATATTTGTATTATGTTAGTATCTGCTGCTCGTAGTATTAATGATATTTGTATTATGTAAGTATCTGCTGCTCGTAGTATTAATGATATTTGTATTATGTTAGTATCTGCTGCTCGTAGTATTAATGATATTTATATTATTTTAGTATCTGCTGCTCGTAGTATTAATGATATTTGTAATATGTTAGTATCTGCTGCTCGTAGTATTAATGATATTTGTATTATGTAAGTATCTGCTGCTCGTAGTATTAATGATATTTGTATTATGTTAGTATCTGCTGCTCGTAGTATTAATGATATTTGTATTATGTAAGTATCTGCTGCTCGTAGTATTAATGATATTTGTAATATGTAAGTATCTGCTGCTCGTAGTATTAATGATATTTGTAATATGTTAGTATCTGCTGCTCGTAGTATTAATGATATTTGTATTATGTTAGTATCTGCTGCTCGTAGTATTAATGATATTTGTAATATGTTAGTATCTGCTGCTCGTAGTATTAATGATATTTGTATTATGTTAGTATCTGCTGCTCGTAGTATTGATGATATTTGTAATATGTTAGTATCTGCTGCTCGTAGTATTGATGATATTTGTATTATGTTAGTATCTGCTGCTCGTAGTATTGATGATATTTGTATTATGTTAGTATCTGCTGCTCGTAGTATTGATGATATTTGTATTATGTAAGTATCTGCTGCTCGTAGTATTGATGATATTTGTATTATGTTAGTATCTGCTGCTCGTAGTATTGATGATATTTGTATTATGTTAGTATCTGCTGCTCGTAGTATTGATGATATTTGTATTATGTTAGTATCTGCTGCTCATAGTATTAATGATATTTGTAATATGTAAGTATCTGCTGCTCGTCGTATTAATGATATTTATATTATGTTAGTATCTGCTGCTCGTAGTATTAATGATATTTGTAATATTTTAGTATCTGCTGCTCGTAGTATTAATGATATTTGTATTATTTTAGTATCTGCTGCTCGTAGTATTAATGATATTTGTATTATGTAAGTATCTGCTGCTCGTAGTATTAATGATATTTGTATTATGTAAGTATCTGCTGCTCGTAGTATTAATGATATTTGTATTATGTTAATATCTGCTGCTCGTAGTATTAATGATATTTGTATTATGTTAGTATCTGCTGCTCGTAGTATTGATGATATTTGTATTATGCTAGTATCTGCTGCTCGTAGTATTAATGATATTTGTATTATGTTAATATCTGCTGCTCGTAGTATTAATGATATTTGTATTATGTTAGTATCTGCTGCTCGTAGTATTGATGATATTTGTATTATGTTAGCATCTGCTGCTCGTAGTATTAATGATATTTGTATTATGTTAGTATCTGCTGCTCGTAGTATTAATGATATTTGTATTATGCTAGTATCTGCTGCTCGTAGTATTAATGATATTTGTAATATGTTAGTATCTGCTGCTCGTAGTATTAATGATATTTGTATTATGTTAATATCTGCTGCTCGTAGTATTAATGATATTTGTATTATGCTAGTATCTGCTGCTCGTAGTATTAATGATATTTGTATTATGCTAGTATCTGCTGCTCGTAGTATTAATGATATTTGTAATATGTTAGTATCTGCTGCTCGTAGTATTAATGATATTTGTAATATGTTAGTATCTGCTGCTCGTAGTATTAATGATATTTGTATTATGCTAGTATCTGCTGCTCGTAGTATTAATGATATTTGTATTATGTAAGTATCTGCTGCTCGTAGTATTAATGATATTTGTAATATGTTAGTATCTGTTGCTCGTAGTATTAATGATATTTGTATTATGTTAGTATCTGCTGCTCGTAGTATTAATGATATTTGTATTATGTTAGTATCTGCTGCTCGTAGTATTAATGATATTTATATTATTTTAGTATCTGCTGCTCGTAGTATTAATGATATTTGTAATATGTTAGTATCTGCTGCTCGTAGTATTAATGATATTTGTATTATGTAAGTATCTGCTGCTCGTAGTATTAATGATATTTGTATTATGTTAGTATCTGCTGCTCGTAGTATTAATGATATTTGTATTATGTAAGTATCTGCTGCTCGTAGTATTAATGATATTTGTAATATGTAAGTATCTGCTGCTCGTAGTATTAATGATATTTGTAATATGTTAGTATCTGCTGCTCGTAGTATTAATGATATTTGTATTATGTTAGTATCTGCTGCTCGTAGTATTAATGATATTTGTAATATGTTAGTATCTGCTGCTCGTAGTATTAATGATATTTGTATTATGTTAGTATCTGCTGCTCGTAGTATTGATGATATTTGTAATATGTTAGTATCTGCTGCTCGTAGTATTGATGATATTTGTATTATGTTAGTATCTGCTGCTCGTAGTATTGATGATATTTGTATTATGTTAGTATCTGCTGCTCGTAGTATTGATGATATTTGTATTATGTAAGTATCTGCTGCTCGTAGTATTGATGATATTTGTATTATGTTAGTATCTGCTGCTCGTAGTATTGATGATATTTGTATTATGTTAGTATCTGCTGCTCGTAGTATTGATGATATTTGTATTATGTTAGTATCTGCTGCTCGTAGTATTAATGATATTTATATTATGTTAGTATCTGCTGCTCGTAGTATTAATGATATTTGTAATATTTTAGTATCTGCTGCTCGTAGTATTAATGATATTTGTATTATTTTAGTATCTGCTGCTCGTAGTATTAATGATATTTGTATTATGTAAGTATCTGCTGCTCGTAGTATTAATGATATTTGTATTATGTAAGTATCTGCTGCTCGTAGTATTAATGATATTTGTATTATGTTAGTATCTGCTGCTCGTAGTAATATTTATATTTGTATTATGTAAGTATCTGCTGCTCGTAGTATTAATGATATTTGTATTATGTAAGTATCTGCTGCTCGTAGTATTAATGATATTTGTAATATGTAAGTATCTGCTGCTCGTAGTATTAATGATATTTGTATTATGTAAGTATCTGCTGCTCGTAGTATTAATGATATTTGTAATATGTAAGTATCTGCTTCTCGTAGTATTAATGATATTTGTATTATGTAAGTATCTGCTGCTCGTAGTATTAATGATATTTGTAATATGTAAGTATCTGCTGCTCGTAGTATTAATGATATTTGTAATATGTTAGTATCTGCTGCTCGTAGTATTAATGATATTTGTATTATGTTAGTATCTGCTGCTCGTAGTATTAATGATATTTGTAATATGTTAGTATCTGCTGCTCGTAGTATTAATGATATTTGTATTATGTTAGTATCTGCTGCTCGTAGTATTAATGATATTTGTATTATGTTAGTATCTGCTGCTCGTAGTATTAATGATATTTGTATTATGTTAGTATCTGCTGCTCGTAGTATTAATGATATTTGTATTAAGTAAGTATCTGCTGTTCGTAGTATTAATGATATTTGTATTATTTTAGTATCTGCTGCTCGTAGTATTAATGATATTTGTAATATGTTAGTATCTGCTGCTCGTAGTATTAATGATATCTGTAATATGTTAGTATCTGCTGCTCGTAGTATTGATGATATCTGTACTATGTGGAGGATCTGAGGCCCACCTGGTCGCGGTCCCCAGCGAAGCAGCAGCTCTTCATGGTGCAGGAGTTGAAGTATCCCTGGTTGTCGAACTGGAAGCTGGGCAGGCGTGAGTGCAGCTCGTAGAGGACGGGCGGCAGGCGGCGCCTCAGAGCGAGGAGCTGAGTGCCCGAGCTGTTGAAGCGGACGCTCATGGCGCTCTGCAGAGACATGCTGCCGCCGTAACGCAGCAACGAGCTGAGGGAGAGGAGGAGACATCAGAGGAAGATATTAGGAAGTGAAAGAATGTAAAAGTGATCTTCTACCTGTAAACATGGTCTCTCTGCAGAGTCAGAGCTCACTGTTAAAAATCTGCTCAAAGATTGTTGGTCAACCCTGTCAGAGACTTTATGACTCAGCAGACCATAATAACCTGTGAGGCTGACCAACAACATCATCTGGGACCCAAAGCATGCTCTGAACAGAGAATATGAACTGCTACCATCTAATGGGAGATTCAATAAAGTCAGACTGAAGCATCCTTTGTGCTCCAGTCAGTCCTAGTCCAGAGGCCTGTACTACGAAGCCGGATTTTCCTAACCTGGATATGTTTGAGTTAGCCGGTTGGCCCAATCCAAAACATACGCGCTCTGGCTAAACTGTACTACGACGCTGGTTATCAAGTGGATCGCTCAAGCCAGCCGTGTCCTATCTAGTTAGGTGCGCGTTCACATGAAAGGGGTGGTATTTGGAGCATTCGACCAATCTCAAAAAACGGACAAGCGTACTGACAGCGCAGCGTCATACTTCCTGAATGAAAAGTGAACTTTAATATTAGTCAAATATGAAGAAGTTAAACTTTAAACATCCATGACTTAAACACTTTATCCAGGATCAAAGCCACATAGCTGCACCTGCAAGGTGAATACAGCTGGTAAAAGAAAAAGTGTTTGAATGCGTACATTAACAGGTTTATGAAATCACTGCCCCGTCTAAGACACGATCTGACTTTAATTAGGAGAATTTGACTCGAGTGTTTCGTCAACTTAATGTGTTGCTTAAAATAATACTTCTGCATACAGTATGTGACACTGTGAGTGTTGCACGGCCAGATACGGCTCAAGAAGCTGACTCAAATAAGGAGATATATGATACATTATGATGTGATATGATAATGGGACACATCGACGTCTGCACTCACAGTGCCGCGGACTGTACTTAATGTTACTCTGATCCGGTTACTTATGTTGTGGCAGATATTTAAGTAAGCTTTCTTAACGCTAATGTTATAATAGTCAGATTGCTCTGAAGATGGGAGGGGATATTCTATTAATTTTCACGTTCACACAGTCAGTTGATTTTTGCCGGCCGTCTTTCCTGCAACGGCAGTTTTTCTGTATTTCCTCTATCCTGTAATATGAATTGATCGCTTTAAACTCCGCACACGGAGCTCTGATTGGTCAGCAGGCGGTGCTTTCACTGAGTTGATCTCTTAGCCTGCAACCTAACCTCCTCCCGAGGAGGTTAGCCGCTCAGCATAAGTTACCATGGAGATCTAGCCCGCTAAAAAGAGAACCAGCGTCGTAGGACCGGAAAGCCAGAGTTTTCCCTGAAGTCAGCCGGCTAAGCGAAAATCCGGCTTCGTAGTACAGGCCTCAGATCAAATGCACGCTGAAGGCTCTTTGAGCAGGTTTCCTCTCAGTGATCGTGCTGTTATGTTCAATGTTTGTTTTTCATGTACTGTGTCTTGATATTTGTCTGTTGATGTTACACATGGAGCAGCTGTGATGCAAGTCACATTTCAGACTTGATCTGACCATTAAAGTATTATCGTATCGTATGACAGCAGAAGTGACTCACAGTTTAGTTGGACGTGTTGTTATTTATGCATTAGTAACAGAAACCTAAGCAAACCTGAGGGCATGTAAACACACACTTTATCCACAGTTTTCACACTCATGCTTTACTGTAAACATTTACTCTCAGCAGCTGCTGGTTAGTTTAACAGCAAGACAACAGCGCCACCTGCTGGACAAACACGCATCACAGTAGCTACAGTGTAGTTATGGATCTGAAAATCTTAGGTCCCGAGCTCCTCCAACAACGCAACATATTATATATAGGACAGAAGACAAACATTTAAAATAAAAATAAAATTGTGCAAATGTAACATTTGAATAAAATAGTGCAGGTTATGTTGCTAGACCAGTATAAAAAAAACACCAGTAAATTGCACACAGATTAATTAAAAAGTCAAAAATGCAATACCAAATATGGATAATAAAAATGTCGATGACTTGAAGAGATAACATTAAAAATAAATAAATATTTTTCTTAATTCACAGACAAATATAATATATATATATATATATATATATATATAATCAAATTATTTTAAGTATTTTTCTACTTTCTTACTAGATGCTTTTACTTGAATAATTGTTTCTAATAATATCTTTTTTTATTACCTCCACTGTGCTTTAGTTGCATGCCATAACATTTTCATTTCATTTCAAACATATGTATTTTGATAGCTTAATATCACAAGTCACACGTGTCTCAGGGGACTGCTTGTATTATTCCTCAGTGACTCAAGTCAGATCTCTTCTCCCCACAGGAAATAGACGCAGGTAAATTAAAAGTGTTACCTGTATTTTTGTTGAATTTGTTAATTTGCAAATGTAATTATATTCTTGGTCTGTACTTTAAACTGAGTTCTAGTAACTGCACACTATTTATTTATTTTATTTTGCATTATTTTGTGATCTGCCATATGTCTAATGTTGGGGAATGTTTGGGTGTGTAATGTGATCATGTAAAAAAATCAATAAATACATGTCTAAAAAATAATAAATACAAAAAAATAAAATAAAAAAAGCGTTACCTGCGAGGTTTTCGGATGTCCCATAATCCCACGCCCTCCTTGGAGTTGGCGGTGGCGATGAGCCTCGGCTCCACCGGGTTAAACATCACGCTGTGGAACGCTGAGGGGTAGCTGGCCAGGCAGAACGGCTCTAAAGGAACAGATCAGAGTTTATTTTACAAGATAATCAACACTTCTACTACTTCTACTTCTCGGGCAACTGTGGCTGTGAGGGAGTGCGGTCGTCTTTCAACCAGAAGGTTATGGGTTCGATCCCAACCCGTGCAGTCAACATGTCGATGTATCCTTGGGCAAGATACTTAACCCTGAGTTGCTCCCGATGGCATGGCCAACGGTGTGTGAATGTGTATGAATGTTAGGTCCTAGAGTAAGGTACACTGCTCTGTATGAATGTTAGTTCCTAGAGTAAGGTACACTGCTCTGTATGAATGTTAGTTCCTAGAGTAAGGTACACTGCTCTGTATGAATGTTAGTTCCTAGAGTAAGGTACACTGCTCTGTATGAATGTCAGTTCCTAGAGTAAGGTACACTGCTCTGTATGAATGTCAGTTCCTAGAGTAAGGTACACTGCTCTGTATGAATGTTAGTTCCTAGAGTAAGGTACACTGCTCTGTATGAATGTTAGTTCCTAGAGTAAGGTACACTGCTCTGTATGAATGTTAGTTCCTAGAGTAAGGTACACTGCTCTGTATGAATGTCAGTTCCTAGAGTAAGGTACACTGCTCTGTATGAATGTCAGTTCCTAGAGTAAGGTACACTGCTCTGTATGAATGTTAGTTCCTAGAGTAAGGTACACTGCTCTGTATGAATGTTAGTTCCTAGAGTAAGGTACACTGCTCTGTATGAATGGGTGTGAATGACATGTAGTATGTCAATTGCTTTGAGGGGTCGTAAAGACTGGATAAAGCGCTATATATAAGTACAGTCCATTTACCATTTCTAACCTTTGCCTTCTACAAGCCAGGCGCTCAATTGCTTTGAGTTGGAAAAATGTTGGTTGCCCCTCCCTGGGCCACTGGTTAAACAATTTAACTTCGAGTCTGGCTCTTGAGAAACTCACATATACACTAAGGAAGAAAGCTTCTGGATTTTACACCATTTGGAATTTATAGAAAATGGGGACATTGCAGAAGCTATGGAAGGTTAAAGTGAAAAGACTAAACTACTGTGAGGAAATGTTGAATTAATCTATTTGGAGAGTTGCAAGCTGTACTCTGTTTGTGGACGTGCTTTCATTGTATTTTGGTTGAATTGGTTAATTTGCAAATGTAATTATATTCTTGATCTGTACTTTAAACTGATTTCTAGTAACTGCACACTTTTTATTTTATTTTATTTATTTTTTTAGCATCATTTTGTAATCTGCCATATGTCTAATGTTGGGGAATGTTCGGTTGTGTTTGTGTAATGTGATACATGTAAAAAAAATTACATCAACATTATAAAAGTTAGTGAAGTAGCAGCCAGTAAAAACATAACTCAATAATAAAAGTATGTTTTGCACAGTGTTATTTTACAACAGTGTTTATTTAATATGATTATTTTTTATTAACATTTAATTTCAATTTATTGAGATTTTCTCAATGTATTTATTTTTATAATTATTTATTCAGATATATATTTCTTTCTTTTATTTCACATAAAAATAAACTTTTAATCACACTGTGCTGCAACATAAATAAAAGGCCTGTTGCTGAATGTATTATTAGTTCATCACGGACACAGGGAAGCTTTCGAAATAGAAAGACGTCATGCAAGATGATCCGCTGCATTTGTATCAACAAGTCTCACTGAGTCACAGCAGGAGGTCCTACACAAGCTTCCAATACTTTAAAGAGGCCCGTTTCTGCTTTTTGGGGGGGTTCCCCTCTCCTGTACTGCGTTCTATAGGTTTCTGTGCATGTAAATGGTCGACAAAGGCTAAAATCCCAAAGTTCCGGACAGTCGCGCTCCTATTGGCTAGCGCTCGAAAACATTGTACGTGATAGACTAAGGGGCGGGACATCTCTAAGCAGGTTGACCAATCACAACAGAGCCGGTCAGCTAACCAATCAGAGCAGACTGGGCTCTGGTTGACGGACATTCTATAGACAAGACTTTTAAATATAGGGCATAAATCATCTGTTTTTAACCATGTGCTTTTATTCTACATGCAGGCAGCCCTAAGCATCACCAGGTATTACGACAGAAAGTTATTATTATTGACAAACAATTAACTTTACAGGAACACGCCTCCTGCTGCACCAAATGTGGCTAAAACTAGTCACCGGCTTGAGCTTCAATATCAGGATCCATGTATTTCTGATCCTCTCCAGAATGGAAGTAGTCATCACATACAGAGCATCAACTAGTTCCTAAACAGTGTCCTTCACATGCTGATATACAAGAGAGGGAGTTACACAGTCACAAGATGGAGGAATACCGGTTCTTGTAGATGATACATCCTGTCATGTACAAAATACTGACTTTTTTCTCAAAATGTTGGCTTTTTTCTGAAAATCCCACATTCTGACTTCCTCTCAAAATACTTACTTTCTCTCAAAATTCTGACTTTCTCTCCAAATTCTGACTTTTTCCTCCAAATTCTGACTTTTTCTCAAAATCTAAAAATTCTGACTTTTTTCTCAAAATCTAAAAATTCTGACTTTTTTCTCAAAATCTAAAAATTCTGACTTTTTTCTCAAAATCTAAAAATTCTGACTTTTTTCTCAAAATCTCCAAATTCTGACTTTCTCCAAATTCGGACTTTTTCTCAAAATGTCAAGATTCAGACTTTTTCGCAAAATTCAGACTTTTCTCAATATCTAAACATTTTGACTTTCTCTCAAAATTCTGACTTGCTCTCAAAATTCTGATATATATATATATATATATATATACTCTGATATTGGAAGAGTACATTCAGTATTTTCCCAACAAGAATAATGTGCTTTTATTCTAGATGCATGCAGCCCTAAGCATCACCAGGCATTACTATATAAAGATATTTTTATTGTAAAAAACAACAACAACCTTTACAGTAAACAAACTGTGCATGTACCTGTACTTGGCGGCTCGCGGGTGTCCCAGATCAGGACTCGTCCGTCGTCAGAAGAGCTGGCGAACACGTTGTCGTTCACCGGGCTGACGGACAGACTGTACACAGCGTCGATGTGCAAGAACACGTTAATGGTTTCCATTCTGTCGGAACAAAAATCACACACAAAAACATGTTGTTAGTGCAAAGCCAACAAAGCTATTTATGCTACAGCCTGGGAATATATAAGAGGTGTTTTGATGCAACAGTTATTATTATTTTGGTGTTATTTGACCCACCTTTCCACATCGTGAAGAATCACCTGTTCATCATTTCCTGCAAAACATCAAATCAAATCAAATCAAATCAAATCAAATCAGGTTTTATTTATATAGCACATTTAAAAGCGATTTTTAGTCGAGCCAAAGTGCTGTACATGTAATAAAAACACATTACTACAATCACAATCAACAAACAGAGGATCACAATGTGAAGGATGCTTGTGCACAAAACTTGTGTGTCATTTTAGCATGACAAAATATGAACAACATTGTAATCAAATAGTTGCAGCTGTAGCTTTTGTCCAGTACAATTTGCATAAACATTCTTATATAATACATTTGATTTAGTCCTTGATTATGAATTCTAAGGTAATTGACTTTGCTGCATAAAAAATTGCATCCTCAAGCGCTTTTTTATAATCTAACCATATCCACCTTTTACCGACTTGCCCTACATTTACAAGCCACAGAAATACCTGCACATGTCAAAGGAAATACACTCTGTTGTTGTGATGTGAAGGAGCAGACAGCAGATGTAGTGTTTATTTATTCTTACCTCCGGAGAAGACCTTCCTGTTGGTGCTGTCGAAGGCGAGGCAGAAGATGTTGGACAGATGTTCTCCCTTCAGCTTCACTGGTTTGGAGCGAGCGTGGAGAGCTTCCTCCATGTTCCACAGCAGAACCCGACGGTCGTCTCCTCCTGAAGACAACAACAAGAACAACAAGAACTTAGTCAAATGCAAAGCACAGTTAGAGTAGGAACTAAAGACTGACTTCTCAGATTGGTTGATTTCAATCACTTCTTATAGACCTGAAGGGGTTGAGATATGGAAAGATTTAGAGCTATTATGGGTTAAAACCTTATTTAAGTAAAAGTACAGTATTGGCAGCAAATTGTACCTAAAGGCAAATGTAATCGTTCTGCACAACGGCTAATTTCAGACCAAAAAAAGTTATATTGTTAAATAATGCATGAGTGTTTCCACCCCTTTATTGTTGTATGAGAATATAATACAAAAATAATAATCGTTATATAAATCACATAATATCCTATACAAAATTCTCTAAAAATAAGACAAAATATGTTTTGAAATCCTCCCAAGACAACAATTGTACAAACAATGTAATATGAAAGAAAGGAAAAAAAAGAAAAGCTTAACTAAGATATTATCAAAATGTGCTCTAAATAAATGTAAACACAATTAATTAGAAATAATAAATAAAAATGACATGCCTCATGTTGTTATACTAGGCCAGAAGATGATTATTTTATCCTCTCTGGACGTAAATATCTTTGTAGTTTCAGGAGGCTGACATTTTTAAACCCTCCAGCGGGATAATAACGTCCCTTACACCGGCAGCAGTGTGAGTTTCTGGGCCGAAATATGTGACTCAGGTCCGGGGGACTGGTGCCCTCAGAGCCGCTGCTGGGTGTTTGACGTTAGCCAGCTAGCATATAGAGCTAAGCTAAATTAGGATAGCTTGAATGGTTTCAGCTGACTGCCAGGCTCATAATAATAATATAAATACACTTTATTTGTATAGCACCTTTGATGCAAGATGCAGCCCAAAGTGCTTTACAGAGCAAGAGAAGATACATAAAAATACACAATGAGACAAAATAGTTAGAGTATTAAAACAGTGATGCCAATATGTGTCTGTAATATATTTATTTATATGGATGTATCTCAGTGAGATCGTATATTGTAGAGTATTCAATTTAATCAACATTTTCTTTATATTGTGTATTATGATGATATATGTCCTTTCTATGTGAATTTGTTTACACTTGCTGCTAATGTTAATTTTTATTTTACAGAATCAGAATCAGAATACCTTTATCTTATTCTATCTTTTAAATATGTCTAACTCGTGTAAAGCTTGACAACACTGCTGCTGTGACACAAATAACGTCCCAGTTTGGGATAAATAAAGTATCTATCTATCTAAGTTTTAAAAAACAAACAGAAAGAGTCACAAAACCATAAAAAAAAGGCTAGTTATTGTTAGCATGTTAGCACGAAACGCTAAGCTAAATTAGCATAGCTTGAGTGTTTTCACCCATTGGTTTCAGTTGACTGCCAGGCTAGTTAGCGTTAGCATGCTAACACACTAAACTCATGAAGAAGGATGATTTCTCACCAGAAACCAGCCATTCTCCTCCGTTGTTGGAGAACTCAATGGCGTTGACGCATCCGAAGTGACCGAGCATGTCCTTCTTGAAGAGGCTGGAGCAACCGGCCATCCTCCGCCTCTGGAACTCGTCCTTCAGTAGCGGCTGTCCGGTGAGCTCTCTGCGGGACAGAAAGCCCACCGAGGACCGCATCCCGCAGCCCTGCAGCTCCTTCATCATGGGGGAGAAACACTGTCTGTTAGACCGGCTGCTGCTGTTGCACCCTGCGGGACATGTAGGCTTGTTGTGGGGCTGGATGTCTGTGTTGGGGCTACATTCTGCTGGAAGAGTCTCTGGTTGTTTTGTAGAGCACCTCTCTCTGTGTGTTTCTCAGTCCCAGCAGCAGCTTCCTGCTCCGGGGGAGGATCCCTCTCTCTCCCCCTGCTGTCACTCAGCACCACCGGGCAGACCTTTAACTCACATGCATCTTATTTATGTTTCTGATCAAACATCTTTTTATTGCGATTGACAATGCATAAGTAATGTTTGTCATTTAGAAGTGGAAAGCAAAATATATGCATTGCATACAAATGAGACAATTGTCTGTACTGATTGTATGTACAAATATATTGTTTAGGTTCCAGTATATATAATAAATTGTTGTATTAGTGTTAGAGCTAGACAAAAGGAGAGAACATATCAGGAAGACTTTTCTAAATTGTTTATACATTTTCAATTTTCTGGAATAAAGTCCAAATTTCAAAAATAAAGTTGAAAGTATAATGATATCTGATGAGAATAACGTTGAAATACCACTATGAGAATAAGGTGAAAATGTTAAGTATGAATGAGAAATATCAACAAAGAAAGGTAACAAAGTTTTAAGAGTTTTAAACATTTCATTTTTTAAGATTTAAGAAAGTTGAAATGGTGAGAATAAAGAAAACGAAAACGATTCTACAGTAGCTGTAATCAATAGGGATAAAAGATGAGGAAGAAGATTATTTTTTTATTTTGCATACGAGGAATAGAGTCAATATGTCGAAAATATACTTAAAATATCCCAAATACAGTCCAACTGTATATAAATAAAGTCGAAATGTTGAGAATGAATGTGATGTTTTTTTTAAAAAGGCACAATTTTGAGGATGAATTCAAAACATCACAAATAAACTGTTGACAATAAAGTCAAAATGTGGCAAATAAAGTCAAAATGACCAAAAACTTTTGAGTTTTTCTGAGAAAAGTCAGACTTCTTCTTCTTATTATAGACACATGCATTTCCAAACATTTGGTATACCTATGCTGTAAAATGTGTTATCTCTTCGATTTACACACGGCATCTATTGCACGTCTGTCCGTCCTGGGATCCCTCCTCTGTTGCTCTCCCTGAGGTTTCTCTCATGTTCCCCTTTAAACTGTGGGGTTTTCTCTGGAAGTGTTTCCTTGTGCGATGTGAGGGTCCAAGGACAGAGGGTGTCGTATTGTCATACTGATATTCTGTACAAACTGTGAAGTCCACTGAGACAAATGTAACATTTGTGATATTGGGATAAATAAACATTGATTGATTGATTGATTGACTTCTGAGATTAAAGTCAGATTTTTTTTTTTTAATCTGACTTTTTTTCTGAAAGTCTGTCAGTCAGAATTCAGACTTTTAGTCTCAGAATTTCATGAGAACAAAAAAAATCACTTTTAGTCAGATCTAAAAAAAATGTTTCTTAATTCCCAAGATGCAAGGGTTAGGCTTGACATTTATACCTACTTTGACTTTTTTTTATTGATTGTTAAAGCATTATTTCCTTCACTGAAAGTACTTTAAAACTTGAATTCACCTTTATATTTACTTGTAAGGAACATTAAAAACTCACACGTGAAACAGAAAGTACATTTTAGTGTGTATAGTAGTTTTATTACTCCAAGTTTTGGGATTACAGTGGTAGGGAACTTTCATTTTCAACAAGCCTTTCTCTGAGACAACATAAAAAAAACATCTAAAACTTTTTTCTACGCAGAAAAACTAATGTCTGCTTAACATTAACGGGATGCTGGGTTAAAGGTGGGGTAGGTAATTTTGGAGAAACCAGCTCGAGTGTGCTAGAATTTGAAAATACACAGCCGGAAAAAATCTGCCACTTCCTTCAGACTTCCTTACAGAGCCCCTCCTCCAACACACACGAACGCACACATGACCAATGAGGGCACGAGATAAGTTTGTGCACAGATGGAAGGCTGACAGGCAGGTAGGCCATCCAGTTATTTTACCCGGGCCGGCTCAGATGATTGGTCGTGCTTTTTACAGCGCCACGGCTTCCACAGATGAATTTTTTTAATGTATTTATTGTCAAAGCATTTAATATATTCATTGCTATCGGGATGTTAAGAGCATTCCATGGAATTTAACAAAAACTGTTTCTGAAATAAATTACATACCCCACCTTTAATTTAATTGGTTAAAACCCATATTTGAGAACTCTTTTCAACATTATGCTGCAAAATCATTGCACATTACTGATATATTCTGTTGTTGTGGACCAAAATCAGCACCATGTTAGCAAGAGACACATTTAGATTGATGTTGATTTGTCAAAATTAAGCAATTTAGGCACTTATTAAGAAATTGGCAAAAGGTTATGATGAAAGTGAAAATACTTCAGTTTTGTCAACGCAAAAACTACTGACATTGAAATGTTAACAACACATCGTAAGCTTGCAGAATATCAAACTAAAATCTAAAACATTACCAAGGAGGCGTCACACTGAGCATAAAGTGATATTACACTGAGGAGATGCAGGGTTACTTTGCATATAACAAATATGCCGTGTGTCCGCTGCTTGTGCTGCTCAGAATTAAAACACACTGATCGACAAACATTTAAAAGTGCTTTACATTAAGGTACCTTCAATACATTCACCTCTACATTATGATCTATAATACCACAGGTAATGAGTGAGCTGCAGACTTCCTTTGGCAAAAATAAAAAATAGCTTTTAGCTAAAGAGATATGGAGTGTGTCAGTGGAGTGTGGGAGAAATAAACACTTATTATTTGCTGAATACAGAGGACATACTGTATATGAACCAAGATTACAGACATGTTGGGTAATAATACAATCATATTTGCTTTGTTAAAGGAATACTTCACCCTCTAAATAAACATTTGTATATCGATATTGCTAGTTTAGTTTTTTGTGAATAAATGTCATTGCATCAACATTTTTTTGCATGTATGTTTGATTGCATCTTAGAGTATTAAGAAAAGCACTGTATGTATCATTAAGTCCCCATGTCATATTGAATTCTTAATTAAAATCACTTTTAACACAGGACAACTATGTACCATCCGTTTAAAAACCCTCACAACTCATTTAAGTGCATTATAATCCAGGGTGCATTTATCCAGTCCATGCTCACTACTTTACACTTGAGTTTTAACTAAAAACATTCATATTTAAATCAGTTTCTGCATAAACAGTCTTACTTCTTGTCTTAAATGTACTTAAAATAGAGCAGTTAGTTAGTTCCACCTGGAGTAAATTCACAAGCTGCCCTGCAGTATACAAAGTCATTCAAACTATCTGCACCTTTACCAGCTTTGAGAACACTTTAATGATCAATCATTATAAAACACATCATATATTATTCTGAAATGGATCAATCTGCAGAATGATTACTTTTGGTACTTTAAGTATATTTTGATGTCAATACCTTTGTACTTCTACTTGAGTAACATTTTGAATGCAGGACTTTTACTTGTGACTTTTACTTCACTCTGGTACTTCAACTTTTACACAAGTACAAGAGTTGAGTACTTTTTCCACCTCTGGTTATTATTACTATAGTGACTTCGCTCCTACAGTAATGCAATGTATGTTTTTGTTATTTAAGTAGGCTACTACAAGGGTTTAGTAACAAGTTAGGTGTTTGTTTAGTAGTGAGAACATGACTGGATAAATGAGGCTTGGATTATACTGCAAGAGTTTGTACGTGATTGTTTTTTAATAGTTTTGTTGTTATAAACGTGGCCGCCATTTACTTTCATTTATGTAATTGCGACAGAAAAAACACAGTTTCTCCAAGAATTCAAGATAACAGGGTGAGTTAATGATATCTAAATGTTCATTTTGTTTGTGAAGTACTTCTTTAATGAGAGTTAGAGGAGAACATCTCTCCTAGCCAAGTGCAGCTATAGCTAGCAACTGGTTAGCTTAGCTTAGCTTAGCACAAAGACTGGAAATGGAGGGAAACAGGCTCTGTGTAAAACCACAGTTTGTCCTTTTTACACTCTGGTTTTGTACAGATTATATAAAATGTTGTTCAGTGAGCTTTACAGATGCTGGTAGGTGGATATCTTTCCTTTTTTTATCAGAGCCAGGCTAGCTGTTAGCAGCAGCTGAGCTTAGCATAAAGACTTCAAACAAAGTGAAAGGTCAAATATCAAATATTTGATTTCTCTTTTGTGTAATCCATACAAAAACTGGATCATATAAGAGGACAAAATGAGTTTATTTAGGGGGTTAGACTATGTGCTGGACTATTTTGTGTAAACCCCACCAGAAAACCACAACTTGTCTTGTTTTTACTTTACGGTTTTCGTACAGAAAAGATAATGCATGTCAATAAACTACTTTTTATTATTTTATGTTTTTATAGCCTGGCTAGCTTTTTCCCATTGTCTCCAGTCTTTGTGCTAAGCTAAGCTAACTAGCTGTATGTAGGCCTATGTATTTTCTCATTTAACTTTTGGATACAAAGCAAATTTCCCCAAATATCAGTCCGTACTATCGACTAAAAAGCATTTGATTTTGTGCTATTAATATTTTCTTTAATTTTTTTTCTTCCATTTCTCACTTTGGAGCAAGACTCAAGCCAATTTCAAGAGGAAGTTAAGTAGATAAGAGGTTAAAAATCAGTGTGTCATCTTCAATCAGTGCCAGGTTATTATTCATTCACACAGTTTTCAGTCTATTGCACATAATCTTCATTTAGTGCCGAAGCGTTTTCTTCTTCAGGGTTAAGAATCAAAGTTGAAAATCCCAAATTTCTTCAAGATGAACGTCTTCCACTTCATCACAAGGCAGCTGCTCTTGTATTTTTTATATATATATATATATATATATCTATTATAATCTTGATTAAATGTGGCGGCCTAGTGACTAAAACCAGCCGCACCAAATTAAAACAATGGCAGATGGCAAAACCTGGGCACAGTACGTTAAAAATAATACGTCTAATTATTATTTACTGATTATTTTGTTCCTATAAAACATCAGCAGGATATTTTATTCTCATTTAAAAAGCGGAGTAAAGAAAGATTCCCTCGGCGGCGTTGCCTCGAGACGTTTTTTACATAAATATAAAATTTAAAAAACACGCAAAAGATTAAATAAAAATGCAAAAAGCTTAAATTAAGACACAGAATAAGAAGTGTGAGGAGGGGGTTAAAGGGGGTCTCAGTCTCTAGTAGGGGCCCTTGGTGTGTCCAAAGATCCCGATGGGGAAGTGCTTCACGTGGGACGACCACTGCGCCGCCAGCTGGAAAAACTTCACGTCGTTCCACTCTACGCCGTCTATCAGGACTGCGGAGGAAGAGACCAAAAAATAAAAATTAATACACACACACACACACACACACAACACACACACACACACACACACACACACACACACACACACCACACACACACACACACACCACACACACACACACACACACACACACACACACACACACACACACACACACACACACACACACACACACACACACACACACACACCGAAGTGCCCGATTACTCCCCCTTTTATTAGTTTTATGAAGGAGATGTCCGGTCACCAGGGTGCATGATGTAATAACGTTTTTTTTTTTTTACATGTCCCTTTAGGGGCTCCGTACATTTACAATTAATAATACAAATTGTTTTTGCTTTCTAATGCATGGATATATATATATATACATATTTTTTTTAATGAATGTTGAGAAAAGGTTCCCAAATGTTGCTCGTTTTCCCTGGCCCACTTTATCAAAGCCCCCCCAGCATGTCTGTTTTAGATACCGACCCCTCAGCATGGTCTGCTGGTGCTTGGCAGTGCAGATCAGGCGGCTGATGCCCTCGATCAACTGACTCTTGGACTCCACCTCCTTGTCTTTGCTCTTTTTTGGCAGGAACATGACTGCAGGAGGAGAAAAAGAGGTCAATTATGATGTGAATAATCCCTTTAATGTTTGCACTACAATGAGAAAATAACATTTCAAATCAAATCAAATCAATTATTTGTATAGCCCAATATCACATAACATGTTTTTCTCAGTGGGCTTTACAGATTAAAACATTGTATATGATGGAGTTACACAAAAATGAGAAGACAAGATAGTGTGTGGAATACAAATAGAAATAAAATAAAATAAGACACAACAAAAGACAATAAAAATACATAAAACATTCAAATGAATAACCATACAAAGTAAATCAAATGAATACCATAAAATGCCAGCTCTAATGTAGGTCTTCAACACACTCTTAAAGGTTTGGACACTCTCTGCTTCTCTGATTCAAACAGGAAGTTGGTTCCAGAGAAAGGGAGCTCTGAACGCTCCGACTCCTGATCTTGTTTTGCAGACTCTGGGCTCCACTAATACCTCATTCACACCAACGGTGTTTCAGGGCCGGTTCGGAGCTGGAGCTTGAAAAGCACCGGGTTTTCCTGTTCACACCGCAGCGGAGCCGCCTCTAAGCTCCGGAATCCGGTTCGTTTCAAGCACCAAAAAATTGTCCGGCTAGAGCAAAAGCACCGCATACGTCACGCTTACGTCGAGGCGGGGGCAGGGGCAGGGGCGGGATCAACTCCTGAACAACAACAAAAAGCCCGCGTTTTATCCAGTTTGTACACAACGATGGAGAAACTTAACAAGCAGCAGTGGTCCACTGAAGAGACCAGCTACCTACTGGGAATCTGGTCTTCCGAAGAGGTACAGAGGAAGCTGGAGGGGAGCACGCGGTCCAAAGCAATTCTCCAACAATTGCAGAAAACCAAAACGAGTAGCGCTTCAACACAATCGGCCATTGTTGTTGTTGTCGGTGTGAGCTGTGAGGGGTTTCCGCGCGGTTTGGTTTATGAAGCAGGCACGCAAACGGTTACGTCATGACGCAAACGATGACGCAATGACGCAGCACCAGCCGGACTCTGGGCGGTGTGAAAAGAGCCGGAGCTAAACCGAAGAACCGGTTCTGAACCTGAAAAGCTCTAGCACGGAGCTTGAACCGGAGTTGCGTTGGTGTGAATGAGGTATAACAGACCTGCACCCTGGGAGCGTAATGTTCTAGCGGGGCAATAGAGTCGTGCAGGGATGACGTATTTTTGTAGGCCGACCCGGAAGTAAGCTGCTCATGGGTTCCCTCGAGAAAAAAGCAACGGGATTTCTCCATAGGATTTTGGAATATTGTAAAAAGTAAGATCTGTGGAAAACGATAAATGCACGTTTTGTTCAGCCGGATAATCTCCACATGTCTACCCTACTTTTATAATGTTCTAATCATAAATCTAATTGCCAGAAGCAAAATGCTAACGTTATGCTATGAACGAACTACAGCCGAGTACAGCAGCACGACTTCAACGTCACGACCAACTTAGGATCGTTTCAACTTGTATTTGAATTTACAGATTCTAAATGGAACAAGTTGAAGCGTTTGTTTGAACAGTTTGCAGGAGGAAGGTACTTTGCTTTCAAGCAGAACAGGGCAAACAAACTTAGAGGAGTGTTTACGTGTTTGGCGTAATGATGTACAACGTCCTCGACCACTTCTGTAGTCCTATTCAGCCACTTGGTAACAACCATCGTTTCTCAGACACGTAAACTCTTCAGAATCACCAGTGGAGGCACTGCAAAATGTGATCCGTCTCTTAAATTTGTGTCAACCACAGACCTTATTTACAGCTATTTTCCAAAAACTAGTTCAAAAAACCCACTGACTCTGAGACGAGGGAACCAGAGTAAAATGCTAACTCACTTCCGGGTTTTAGGACTCGTTCCTGCACCACTCTATAGTGGATCAAATATCTTTTAGATGCATCAGTCCATACATGGGTCCCACTCACCCTTCTTGTTCTTCTCCTTGGTCACCACCGTCATGCTCATGGTGGGTTGAGGGTTCGGCTCTGCCCCCCCCAGCGGCAGCCGGCTGACCTGCAGCGAGCGGAAATTGCACTTCAGCGTATTTTTGGAGGAGGAATCCCGCTTCTCCACGTCCTTCTTCCTCTCCGCCGGAGCCTGCCAGTAATCCACCTGCAGCCCCATCAGCTCCAGCCCACCTGCAGAGCTGGAACACAAACAGGAAGGGCTTTATGTTATAGAAATGTTTAAAAGACAGAAATTGAGCTTGCAGAATTGGAGGGAATATACCTGATACGATATTTTATTACGCCCTCTCAGAAATCCCACTATGAGAGGACCCCCCTATATGTTGGAGGAACTGTGGTAACCAGAATGCAAACCACTTCCATGTGTTCTAGTCCAGTTATCAAAGAAAACTGGAAGGAGATACCCAATGCCTTACAAGACATTTTCAAAGATATGGAAAAGATGACAGCATTTGTCATAAATCGGAACAATTTACTACAAACTGGGAGAAGTGGACTCACTATTTAAAGCCCTAGGCCGGATTTTGTTTTCACAGATCCATAACTCTGCTGTAAAGAAATGTCTACTCCCTAATTGTTCACTGTTGTTTTCTTTTCTTTTCATTTCATGTCTTTCTCATCTGTGTTTTTTGTGTCATCACGTGTATATTGCTGAAAAGAACAGATTTATGTCATTCATGTAAAGATGCAATGTACAATATGCTGTGACAATGTTTGACACTAAATTCCAATAAAAAGTAAATTACGAAAATTAAATTGGATTGCTTTTTTATCTTTTCTCAGGACTCAATCTTATACTTGTAAAAATGTATTAAAAAAAGAAAAAATGCATAATATTTAGATCTATTATTTATCTTTTGTCTCCAGGTGTTAATGTTTACCTGTATGCACAGAAGCTGGTGGTGATGGAGGGTGAGGAGGGGGGGGTGGGCGACGCCTCTTTGAGGGCGGGGGAAACCTGTGGGGGGGAGGAGAGCAGCGAGGAGCCGAGGGGAGTCGCGTCATCAGAGTCTCCTGGGGAAGGAAACAAAAGATAACATTTAGTTTAGTGCTCTGGTGCAGGGAAGATAAGATGAGATGAGATGGAACTTTATTTATCACCTTGGGGAAATTCAGGCGTTAATAGCAGTCAGAATGAAAAACAGGATTCACACAGGGTCAAAATAAAGATTAAATATAATACAAATTTAAATAATAATACAGCAAAAATAAAGTGATATGAAGTATGCAAACTGTGCAACGCTAAATGGTCTTTAAACAAATCGTCTTCAGGGATTGTTAAATGTTAAATGTCTGTTGCCTTAATATTTCTCCTTTTTGATGTTGAGAAGGAAACTTCTTTGGTACAGGAAGCATTTCAGACTCTATCTGACATTACATTACATTACATTACATTACATTACATTACATGTCACTTGTTAGACGCTTTTATCCAAAGCGACTTACATACTCAATACTGTGGGCAATCCCCACAGGAGCAATTTGGGGTGAAGTGTCTCAGGGACACAACGACATGCTGACTGCAGAGGGGTTTGAACCCTGATTCGAACACCAATGCACAACCCACTGCGCCACACGCCTCCACACGGTATAGCATTATTGTGTTGTACTTTTTATTACTTTTATGTATTTCAAAAATTCTTCTGCTTGATTATTTCTCACCTGATGCTGCAGATGTTTGCTCCACGAGGCCGACTTTCACCATCTGCAGGATTCAGACAGTATAGCATTATTACTTGTATACAAAATACTGGTTAAAGACATATTTGTGGAGCTGTGTCAGTGTCAAACATTAGGTAAAACAATCAGTGCATATAGAGACAAAATAAACAGTGACAGTCAGTAACTTACTCCGATAAAAGGGATGAATTTCTGACACGAGTCCTCGTCCGGGCTGTGGAGAGACAAAGAGAGTTCAGGCAAGAAAATAAGCAACAGATATAAAAGAAATAGGAAATCAATTATTTACAAAAGAGAGGTGTAATGAATCAAAAGGGCCGACTACTGCAAGCATATCCAAATGCTTGGCTAAGAAAAGTAAAGACTATTTAAAGAAATATGCAGTTAGTAAAATCTGGCCTCATTCACCAAGCGTTCTTGAAAAGGTAATTTCTTAAAAATGTTCCTTTTTTTTTATAAGAACAGAATCTTCACATATTTGAGTTCCAAAATGATTGCTCAGTTTCATCAGTTTTCGCGTTTCCTTTAGTTAAAATGTCTATAAAATGTGTTTATAATGAGTATTGTTATTGTATAAACTATAAAGCATTATGGTACAGTTAAAGAAATGAGAGAAAAGCAGGCGAGAGCCAGCATGACGAGGCGATATTTGACTGGAATGATAAAAACAACGTTGACACAAGATTCAGGAGCTACGAGCTAACCGCTAATGTCTAACGCTTATATGATAACTTAAAGGTGGGGTAGGTAAGTTTGAGAAACCGGCTCGAGATACACTTTTTGTTATATTCCATGGAATGCTCTTAACATCCCGATAGCAATGAATATCTTAAGTGCTTTGACAAAAAATCCATAAAAAATGTTCATCTGTGGAAGCCGTAGTACTGTAAAAAGCACGACCAATCATCTGAGCCGGCCCGGCTAAAATAACTGGATGGCCTACCTGCCTGTCAGCCTTCCATCTGTGCACAAACTTATCTCGTGCCCTCATTGGTCATGTGCGCGTTCGTGTGTGTTGGAGGAGGAGCTCTATAAGGAAGTGGCAGATTTTTTCCGGCTGAGTATTTTCAAATTCTAGCAATCTCGAGCTGGTTTCTCAAACTTACCTACCCTACCTTTAAGATCCAGACGGAAATGTCCAAACTAAGCTGTGTAATAAATGAATATATAACATATTTCCAGTCATTTTAATGTGTAAAAGTTAGAGCCATTAGAGCCCTTCATGAATCTGATCTACACTCGATTTCTAGGAACAATCTTAGGAACATGTTGGTGAATGAGGCCCATTGAGATCTAGTTATTAGTAAACTATTCATGATGCTGATTTCCAATGTGTCACATGTGGAAATATTCCCATTGCATAAGGAGAATCAGAGCATGCTGCATGACGTCAAGTCTCCACTAACACAGATCCACTTCCTGCAGGCTCCTTTATTAAAGCTGCAGAAGAAGAGCATGCAAATATCAGCCGGTTGGAGGCTTCAGACAAAGCCATCCAGAAAACTGCAGACAGCAGAGCAGAGAAGAAGAGCATTCGAGGAGGAAGACATCCATCAGGGGATACGAAACTCTGAATAATAAAGAAGTGGACGAGCAGGAAGAGCACCAACCTAAATGCACAAGTCTGCAGCTCCATGCAGCACCGAGAGCGTCTCAGTGCAGTGTGTGAACATTTGATCTACTGATTCATGTACACACATTTCCCATCTATTACCAAATAATGCATTTTAATTCGAGGTATTTAACGAGAGTGGGGGCTTTTAAAAAACTGTTTCAAATTTCTTGTTATTTTTCGTAATATACCGACTCAACATTTTAATCACAAATGTCTTTATTTTTATTGTTTTAAATTGACCTGACTTTAAAAAACAATAGGATTAGGCACGAAATGTACTTTGAATTAAACTACAATATTTCGTTTTTGGTGGCACGAAAAAAAACGTGTGTACATAAACACAAATCAATAATTAGATCAAATGACTTCACGACCGGTTCACAGACTGCCATGAGACTGGGTTGGTATCACTACACCTTAAAGAACTATTTTCCTGTTGACCAGAAAAATAGTCTGACCGGATCTACTTTTTTTTTAGAATGGATCTACTTTTTCTCTAATGATGACGTGAGCGGTTGCTGCTCTTGCCTTGGAGAAACCTGCCAGCGCCCCCCCAGGGAGGAAACAGAGCGACTACAGGGGGGGGGAGAGGAGAGAGAGAGGAGAGAGAGAGGGGGGAGAGAGAGGAGAGAGGGGGGGAGAGAGAGGAGAGAGGGGGGGAGAGAGAGAGGGAGACACACACAGAGAGTCTGCACATCCATTTATCCTCCAAACACAGAAACACATCTGGACTGAAATGAGAAACAGCAGCCAGAGAGCCGGATGTCTGCCTGCTATGTGACGTGAATAACGACTGAAAACAGGAACTTATCTGATGATTTTTAGACAAATGTGAGATTGAATGTGGGATGTTTTGGTTAAAAGACGCACATGCACGTCAATCAATGAAGACATAAACACATGCACTTTAAAGATAAATTTAGTTCTGCATCTCCAGGTTTCAAAAAGTGGTATTAGTATCTTTTAAATGTTGGTTTTGTTGTACAACTAAGCTGACAGTGCATTATAATGGTCATTGTTTGCTTTAAGTTAAGTAGAAATTGATATTTAAACAACTTGTGTTGTTATTAAGGGTTCTGAATTTTTTTTAAACATTTAATTCAAAGACTTTCAAGGCCCATTTTCCTTAAAGGTCCCCTATTATACTTTTTTTCATCAACATATTATAGGTCTCAGTTATATACAGAACCTGTTTCTGATTGGCTGAAACACCAAACAGATCATTGCAGCATCCCATAATCCCCTCTGTTTCAGCCCTGTTTCCAAAGTGCTGATTCTCTGTCTGTTACTTTAGATGAAAATAAGGAGCCCCTCCCCACGCCCCTCTGAGAGATATTTGGTTACAAAGAACACAATGGTGCTCTAGGAGGAGATTCAGGTGATAAGGTGGGGGGGGGGGGGGGGGGGGGGGGGGGGGTTTACCTTGGTTGCTGATTGGCTAATGGTTACACAAGCCAAAACATCGTTATGACATCACAAAGTGGCCAAAATCTGATCAGCTCATTTTCAGACAGGTTTTTATATAAATGGATCAGGACAAAAAGAGAGAGAATCTTTTTGTCCTGAAACTTTCAGAATCTCTTTACACGGAGGGGACACATGTTGATGTAGAAGAGACATGAAGAAGAGGGGACACATGTTGATGTAGAAGAGACATGAAGAAGAGGGGACACATGTTGATGTAGAAGAGACATGAAGAAGAGGGGACACATGTTGATGTAGAAGAGACATGGAAGAAGAGGGGACACATGTTGATGTAGAAGAGACATGAAGAAGAGGAGACACATGTTGATGTAGAAGAGACATGGAGAAGAGGGGACACATGTTGATGTAGAAGAGACATGGAGAAGAGGGGACACATGTTGATGTAGAAGAGACATGAAGAAGAGGAGACACATGTTGATGTAGAAGAGACATGAAGAAGAGGGGACACATGTTGATGTAGAAGAGACATGGAGAAGAGGGGACACATGTTGATGTAGAAGAGACATGGAGAAGAGGGGACACATGTTGATGTAGAAGAGACACGAAGAAGAGGGGACACATGTTGATGTAGAAGAGACATGAAGAAGAGGGGACACATGTTGATGTAGAAGAGACATGAAGAAGAGGGGACACATGTTGATGTATGTAAGAGACATGGAGAAGAGGGGACACATGTTGATGTAGAAGAGACATGGAGAAGAGGGGACACATGTTTGATGTAGAAGAGACATGAAGAAGAGGGGACACATGTTGATGTAGAAGAGACATGAAGAAGAGGGGACACATGTTGATGTAGAAGAGACATGAAGAAGAGGAGACACATGTTGATGTAGAAGAAGACATGAAGAAGAGGGGACACATGTTGATGTAGAAGAGACATGGAGAAGAGGGGACACATGTTGATGTAGAAGAGACATGAAGAAGAGGGGACACATGTTGATGTAGAAGAGACATGAAGAAGAGGGGACACATGTTGATGTAGAAGAGACATGAAGAAGAGGGGACACATGTTGATGTAGAAGAGACATGAAGAAGAGGGGACACATGTTGATGTAGAAGAGACATGAAGAAGAGGAGACACATGTTGATGTAGAAGAGACATGGAGAAGAGGGGACACATGTTGATGTAGAAGAGACATGGAGAAGAGGGGACACATGTTGATGTAGAAGAGACATGAAGAAGAGGAGACACATGTTGATGTAGAAGAGACATGAAGAAGAGGGGACACATGTTGATGTAGAAGAGACATGGAGAAGAGGGGACACATGTTGATGTAGAAGAGACATGGAGAAGTGGGTTTTGCATAATAGGTGACCTTTAAATTCAAGGGCATAACACATCATAGTGAACTCATCGCAGGCTATTTAAAATACATCCAAAGCTTAGTTATTTATTTCCTTCAACTTAACACACTTTTTAAAGAGCCTGTGGTAATGGTTATTGCACAGATAATCCCATTTTCCTCACCTAAGACAACAAATAAGCAATATGCATAACCTATAATAACATTGTGTGATGTTTTGGTTAGAACTATCGGCGTAATACATGCACTTTATTATAGGTAAAGTTACATCTAGTTCTGCTTCTTTAGGTTGCAAAATGTGGTATTAGTATGTTTCGTATATAATACAGAATGTATGCATCGCTTTTAATGGTACCCATGTCTATAATGCATTATAAACACACCTATAATGCATCATAATGTGATTAAAATCTTATCTAGAAGGTCATTGTTCTCTTTTAAGAAAAAAAAAATGAAATGATTAACCTTTAGAATGACTCAACCTAATTCCCTTAAATTTAAGGACTCAATTAGGCGTTTTCAACATGGGTTTTCTACCTCTAACTGGACAGATAACAAACAGACATGGAGGGCCAGATGATGGAGAAGAAGCAGTGGTGGGGAAGGAAATAAAAAGCCCCAAAGAGGGAACACACACATCTGATCTCCTGCCACTATATCAGCATGATTTACCCTAATTAATGAGGACAGAAACTAGTCAAACATACTAACAACAAGAGCACAGACATTGGATGGAGATTAAAACCTCATGCTTCAACAAAAACATCTACAACATGTGCACCAAACTTCAGCGGATAGAGCATTTTCATTAGTTGAAACATCTGGAAAATAATTAGACTTTAACCAGAAACGCTGTAGTGGAAACGCGCCATAATGGCGCGTTTCCACTACAGCGCGGAGCACGGTTTAAGAGGGCTGTGACGTCAGCGGCCCGTCTTTGGTTGCGTTTCCACTTGGCCTAGTACCGGCCGGCGGGTCCTAATTCACAGTTTTTCTGGCCTCATAAAATTGTGGGTCTAGGGCCAGAGACAACGAGGCTGAGTCGGGCTGAGTATGCTAAACTAGAGAGAGAATCGCTGGCAAGGGGGCTACAACTACAACAAGATGGACATATTTGACCGTGATTTAATTGTAATACACGTTTCAAAATGATGCCGAAGTAACAACATACTGATACCGGTTAGTAAAAACCATGAATTAATGCTTTGTCAAGTCTGCAGACAGACGGCAGGCGAAAAACCTTTTAAAATGCGTGTTTTCTAAATGGAGATTGGCTAAGCTAACGCAGTATATGCTCCGACCGTCCACACTCACAACAACGGCCTATACAGACATAAATAAACCAGCGACTGTATTCGCCATGACACAGGCAGTCTGTGGTTTGTACTTGTTTCACTTTTGTCTAGTTTCTGAACATATATGAGGAGCTGTGAGCTCTGAGTGCTAACAGCTAACGGCTGTGTTGTTTTTCTGGGGTTCTCATTGAAGATGACGTCACGGCTCCGCCTACACTGCGTTACTATAGATACTACCCCAGTTCCTAAACTGTAATGGAAATGCGCCATAAAGTGAGCCAGTCCTAACGAGGCCTAGCCATACCGAGCGAGGCCGAGCGAGGCCGTGTAGTGGAAATGCGCCATTAGACGAGAAAATTGATACGTCTCTCATGTCTGTACAAGGAGCTGGTTAGCTTAGCATAATGACTGGAAACAGTAGGAAACAGCTAGCCTAGCTCTGTTCAACCGACCGGAATCTTTCAAACCAACAAAATTAAAATGTTTGTTAAATCCAAAATCTTAAGTGTAACGTTATGTTTGGGACTTGTTCATAGCAGGTAGCAGTAAATACACTCTTTAATGTAGCATGAAGTAGTTTGTCTATGTTGCTTGGTGAAAAACATTGAAATATATGTCTTCATCTGCCATCACAATAACATGATCATTTCTCTTCATAAAAGACTTGACTTCATAAAATGTGTGCCAATATCCACATCTGCAATTGGCCAAAAACGAATATGTAAATATCTAATATTTGGCATCGCTATTGCAAACTTGCACCTTTGCATTGGTGAGTTTTGGAAATGGATGATCGATGGATTTTAAGAGTACTCGTAATGTTGAAAAGAGAATGAACATCAACACAGATTAAATAAAAGGAAACCTGTGATTGAGATTTTTTAAGCAGACATTTTCATGACATGTTAGAGCACACGTGTCAAACTCAAGGCCCGGGGGCCAAATCAGGCCCTTGGTGGATTTAATTTTGGCCCGCAGGTTAATTTCTAATTACTATTAGATCTGGCCCGCCGGTATATTGCACGCACACCTTCACTCAATCCTGAGGGTCTCCTCAGCTCAGAGCCTGAGCCCAAACATTGATGAACTTGCACCCAAGATGAGATGCCAAGTATCTGGCTTGAACTAGCATCACAGAGCAACAAACTGAGTTTCAATGGATGTTTCCTTCTGCACTTTTTTCTTGAGACAACAGGGCATGTTTGGTTTTTTCTTTGAGGGGAATAGTTTTTTTGAAGCTGTTGTTGGCCTGTGGAAAAATGTAATCATAAGAAATGCAGCTGCAGAAAGAGCCATAAGAAATGAATGCAACTGATTATTTAATGTTTAATGTTGTTTTTATAGGCAATAATTGAAGCTTTGTTAGTTCCAGGTTTAATATGTGCAATAAGTTCACTTCAATAAGTTTTGCAATAAACATTGAACCAGTCCGGCCCTCGACTAGTACCCATTTTTTAATTTTGGCCCACTGTGTATTTGAGTTTGACACCCCTGTGTTAGAGGTAACTAAACACACTATTTTTTTCTGGAAAAAAGCCTTGTGTCTTTCAATGGGTACGCCCCTCTTCTGTTTTTACTCTCTGGTGTTAAGGCTTATAAAAACGTCTAAATAAAAACCTGATGCCGCTTCGGTTAGTTTACTAAATCTCATCCTGTGTCTGTGTCCTTGTGTTATTTACGACCGTGAGCTTTAGCCCAGATAGAAGATCTTATCTGAGGGTTTATAGCTCAGGCTGTTAGTAATAGACGAAAAACAACCACTTTTAGGCAGCTGTTAAAGTGGCAGGCTCCAGAGAAAGAAAGGGAAGTGAAATGTGGCTCCAACACACAGAAAGCACATTAATCACCAGGCTGAGAAACAAACTCAATATACCACAATACCTTACTGCAAAATCAAAATGAAAGCTCTTTTTCCTTCAAAGAAAAGAAAAAATACAACAAAAACGTGTTATTCTCACACACACACACACACACACACACACACACACACACACACACACACACACACACACACACACACACACACACACACCACACACACACACACACACACACACACACACACACACACACACACACACACACACACACACACACACACACACACACACACACCACACACACACACACACACACACACACACACACACACACACACACACACACACACACACACACACAGATGGAAAGACATGATGTTTAACACACAGACGCCGCACACACACACACACACACACACACACACACACACACACACACACATTAGTGACACCTTTACCAACATTTTGTTTTTCAAGAGGGGGTTGAAGACATTTTAAAAAAGGTGTCCAATGACAATAAAGTTGAATCTAATCTAAATCCTGTATAAGTCAAAGAATGAAAAACCCTACTTTCCATAATTTCCGTTCATGAATTTGCCTTTATTTGAGTCATGTTTCCTTATTCCTGTACTTATTTTTAGAAAATATGAATGGATTTGTTGTCTTAATTATTGAATTTGAAAGATTGGAGAAACCAATTTATGTCAATTGTTGAAAATCATGCTGATTCATGTTTTTAGCAAAATGTAACAAGTTATATATTCTGTCTCTTTACAGATAATATCCACAAATATAGTACAGTCCATTGAGTTATACAGATCTCTTCAACCCCATTTGGAAAAGCAGCTGAAGCTCTGCATAAGAAGCAAAAATAAGACCACTAAAACTAAATTCAATTATTTCAAGTTTCAAGGCTTTTATTGTCATGTGTACATAGCTACAGTGTAGTTATGACAATGAAAAGCTTAGGTCACAGGCTCCTCCAACAGTGCAACACAATAAAATAGATATAATAGAAACTGTGCAGAATAGTCTATATACAGTAATTGGAATATTGATATATATGAGTTGCAAACAGATGAATGTTATGGATGTACTTTCAAAAGTTCAGGTGTTTAACAGTCTTATGGCCTGATGGATGAAACTGTCTCTGAGTCTGGTGGTTAGTGTCAGATCAGTGTGTGTAACGTTCTCAGGTGAATGATGGCGGTTTAACAGATTGAACGTACCTCTTCTGTTTGTAGGTGAGCATGGCCTCAGCGATGGGCAGCTGGTGGGCTCCGTTGGCTCCCACCATGTACTGAGTGACCCTCGAGACCACGTCCAGGTTCTCCTGAGCTACACCAGGAACACAGGGATTCATTATTATATATATACATAATGTACATTCTCAAAGATATTGAAGTGACTGTTATTTTGTATATATTGATTGTTGTGCTTTTATATAGGTCTTAAAGGTCTCCTATTATACTGTTTTTCATCAATATATTATAGGTCTCAGATATATACAGAACATGTCTCTGACTGGCTGAAACACCAAACAGATCATTGCAGCATCCCATAATCCCCTCTGTTTCAGCCCTGTTTCCAAAGTGCTGATTCTCTGTCTGTTACTTTAGATGAAAATAAGGAGCCCCTCCCCACGCCCCTCAGAGAGATATTTGGTTACAAAGAACTCAATGGTGCTCTAGGAGGAGATTCAGGTGATAAGGTGGGGGGGGGGTTACCTTGGTTGCTGATTGGCTAATGGTTACACAAGACAAAAAACCGTTATGACATCATAAAGTGGCCAAAATCTGATCAGCTCATTTTCAGACAGGTTTTTATAGAAATGGATCAGGACAAAAAGAGAGAGAATCTTTGTTCCTGAAACTTTCAGAGTCTCTTTATACAGAGGGGACACATGTTGATGTATAACAGACATGAAGAAGAGGGGACACATGTTGATGAAGAAGAGACATGAAGAAGAGGGGACACATGTTGATGTAGAAGAGACGTGAAGAAGAGGGGACACATGTTGATGTAGAAGAGACATGAAGAAGAGGGGACACATGTTGATGTAGAAGAGACATGAAGAAGAGGGGACACATGTTGATGTAGAAGAGACATGAAGAAGAGGGGACACATGTTGATGTAGAAGAGACATGAAGAAGAGGGGACACATGTTGATGTAGAAGAGACATGAAGAAGAGGGGACACATGTTGATGTAGAAGAGACATGAAGAAGAGGGGACACATGTTGATGTAGAAGAGACATGAAGAAGAGGGGACACATGCTGATGTAGAAGAGACATGAAGAAGAGGGGACACATGGTGATGTAGAAGAGACATGAAGAAGAGGGGACACATGGTGATGTAGAAAAGACAGGAAAAAGTGGATTTTGTATAATAGGTGACCTTTAACGTGTGCATATGTATAAATGTGTCTTTTGATTGTGAATATATAGGTATATACATATTTTTATATATATTTGTTTTTGTATTTGGGATTGTGGGAAACGGTATTTCGATCTCTCTGTAGTACGGAAGTCCTGAGAAGCAAAGAGGAAAAGTCTTTTTGGGATCCATTATCTTAGTCTAAGAGAAATAGTTTTCCAGTTTTGGCAATTTATGAAAAAAGGTTTTGCCAGAGTAATCTTATGTAACTTAATTTTGGATTTTTTTAAACGGTGAAAAATACATAAATAACACAACATAAGATTTTAGTGACCTTTTTTTCATCTGTGAAAATAGTTTTAAAGAACAAGTGTTGGCTGGTGAAAAACTTAATTTGAATGTAATTGTGAATTTTATAACCAGCAACATACTGAATACTGTACATATCGAGAGACATTCATTCAGATGTTTGTTTTCATTGTGGAAATGACCAGTTTTCCTGATTGGAGATCTCCATAAAAAAATGAATAATATTAAATATTAAATATAAAAGTGCCCACCAACAACAGGAGCCTCTGGTTTGTGGAACAGGTCTCTCCACGCTGCGTCCTGAAACAAACTGTTGTATCGATAATCAATCGTGCCGAGATATTTGGAGACCGGATGAGCACCTGAACCAGAAGGAGAAAACAAAAACACAACAAACAGCTTTAGAGACAAGTCAGAGAAATACTGAGAGCACTTGTAGCCTCAGTATCTGTTAATAGCGGGAGATGAAAGGAGTAAAGGACATGGGAAAATGTAAAAACAACAACAACATTAAGCACAATTATTGTTTAATGTATTCAGTGAGACTATGGAACAGTGTGAATGTGGAGCGAAAGCCATGTCCAGACATTAAGAGGGACGTTCAAGAGGAAATACAGAGAAATTATTTTCTCGAGGTGCAGGGATGGGGAAGGTGTTTGTATATGTATATGTGCATATATGTGTATGTGTGTGTATGTATGTATGTTTGTATGTCAGGGTTTATACACTTTTTCACCAATGATTTTCAATGACTTCTCCATGACCTTTACCTAATTTTCCATGACCAAAAACATTGCTCTTTCTCAGCGGTACCACTGAAAATGGTTTATTTTAACATGGAACAGGAAAATAAGGTCTGCATATGAAACATGTTGTGCCTATCTAAAACAAATCAAATAGTAGGCTTACTAGCTTCTACACGCTAAAGCAACTAAAATCTCTCACCAGCAAAATACCTCGTCAGTTAAATGCCATTTTACGTTTCATTACTATACGATACAGTATTTATTATCATTATAGTATTACTATTTCGGCGATTAGATAAAATATAAATTATATTTGATGCAACTTTAGTTACATTTCCATGACTTTTCCAAAACATTGGGAAAAATATTGTTTTCCATAACTTTTCCAGGGCCTGGAATTAGCATTTTGAATTTCCATGACTTTTCCAGGTTTTTAATGACCGTAAGAACCCTGGTATGTACATATGTGTATATGTATATATGTCAATCAACAGGTAAAGCAGATTCATAATAATAATACCAATAATAATTAATAATGATAATTATTGCAGATCATAGATTATAAATAAATCATTTAGGGACAAGGGGGTGAGATTAAATAAGTTATACTTCTTCTCACTCCTTTTTGAACACTAGATGTGGGACTGTTTACAGTATGTTGCTAATGCTGTTGTTGTTGTAAATGCCATTTTGGGTTTTGATTTCTCTTACATGACTATGCACTGCAAAATTTTTTTTGTTTTGTAATTATTTATTTTAATTGTTCGAAATAAAATGTATCAATCAATCAATCAATTCATCTTGCCTTTGCATCCTCTGTCCACATTTTCTCTTTTGCTTGACTTTCTGTTGTTCAGAATCAGAATACCTTTAGTAGTCCCACAGAGGGGACATGTACATTTGTTACAGCAGAAAAGAGCCAAAGACAGCTTAATGTTAACTAAGAAGCATGCATACAAAAAAAATACACATTCTGTAACAGTTCTGAAGATTAATATTTAATATCTGCTTTCTATCCATCAAAGGAGTTCATAAACAGCATTTTAAAGGTGCTTTATGAATACAATTCTCCAAAACTATCATTTCATTATTAGCACATTTAGCAAAATGTAAACCTGCCATTATCATATATCCCTGTTTGAACATAAATACCACCTCCTCACCTAGCGGTATGACGAGGAACCTCATGTATCCGAGCCAGTCGGGGGTCTTGTGGGAGAGATGGTCCACGAACAGCCTCAGCACGGCGCTCAGGTAGTGCTGCGCTCCGGCCACCGCGATCTTTATGGGGACCGGCGTCTGAGAGTTACAGTTACAACTACGAGAGGAGAGGAGGAATAATGAGCATTAAAGTTAACAATGTGGTTGAGCTGCTCGTGGAGCTCACCCGTCCCAGTGCACTAGTGATGGGAATTATGGCTCTTTGAAGGGAGCCGGATCTTATGGCTCCGTTCCTTTCAAAGAGCCGTTCAAAAGAGACGTTTCTTTTTAAAGGGGGCGGGGTTACTAGGTTTATCTGCGAAATAATCACCAGGATAATGATTGACTGTATTGCCAGACCTAATGTCAATAATCTGCATTGTAAACATGACACAAGGTGGCGCCATATGCATGTCATTCATGTCAGTGAATGTACTTTGAATTTACCCTCTGTATGTGTTAAGTAAATAAAGTTGCCTTGCCTTGAATGAAATTCACGCAACTCTTAATATTAGATACTGTCTACCTGTCCTGTACCACTTGTTATGACTTCTCTCTCTCGCGTATTCCGTTAAGACCCACCCCACCTCACTCCTCGTGCTGAAACCTACCAATCAGAGTAGGGGCGGGTCTTCACAGAATACGTTTGGGGAACAAAATCAAGCTTTTTAAAAGGCGAGTGGATTTTGGCAGGCAGTGAGTGCGGACCAACGATTGAACGATAACAAGAACGGCTCTCACCAAGTACGACTCGGTTCCCCTCGTTCGTACCAGTGACACATCACTACAGTGCACTTATTAAAGGTCCTCTATCAACACAGAGGTGAGAAACTCGCTTTGTTCCTTATTAATGTTTGGGATTGTATTGGTCTACTGAGCTCTGCATCATAATGCTTTCTTCCTCCAAACACAAATCCATTTCTATAACAGATGCAATTGGTTGTCTTACATCAGATGTGTCCAAACTTTTTTCACCGTGGGCCACACATAGAAATATATACGAAGGGTGTGGCCACTGACTACAGGTGAGGCATATTGCGTCATAAGTTAAGTTATAAGTCGGCAAAATCAATCAAATGTAAGTAAATTATGCTTAATCAGCGTACATCCCAGCTCTAGGTAGGGTTTCCATTATTTTGTTGGTAGCTCATTCCTTACAACAGAAGTCTCAGATTCAAAATGGTCCGCGGGCCGCTTTTTGCCCTCGGACCGTAGTTTGGACACCCCTGTCTTACATGCTTCGGTTCACGTTCAAGCATGCAGAGCTTTAATTCAATATTGTTTGAGTAAACTTCTTCTAAAACACTTAATGTGATAATGGCTCAATGAGTCAAAAACACATTTCCTTTATTGGGTTATATCTTATTTGGGATGTCCATGACTATTTGGCGGTCCGTATTTGTGGGGAGATGTTGAAGCACCCCTGATCTTTATGGGGACCGGCGTCTAGAGTTACAGTACAACTACGAGAGGAGAAGAGGAATAATAAGTTCAACTCTCACAAACAATATCTAAAGATCTGAGTGAGAGGCTGACTCACAATCTCTGGATGCGGGACACGATGGTGTTTAAGGCGGCCTGGATGTCGGCCGTGGTGCAGGTGCAGACCACCGGGAGCTGCTGGTTCTGCAGCAGGTCGGACAGATACTGGGAGGGGGGGGGGGGGGGGGGGGAGAAACAGATGAGAAAATAACAAAAAAAAGGTGTGAAAAGCATTTCCAGCTCATAAATGTATTTGTTAAATCAATGATTTCCAGCGATCCTTTAATTATAAATTCTTTCAAAAAAATTGTCCAAGAAACTATGTATTTGGTTTTTACTTAGATTGACAGGAAGACATTTTATCACCTTCAATTTTTAAATGTTAAATATAAAAGACAAAACTAAATAAGTACAAAAAATATAAAAATATACATTTTAAGAGACTATACATTCATATACCACTCCGTTCATTCATTTACCCTTTCATATTTATATATATATATATATGTATTCGCACTTATTCTTCCACATTTTTCAGAAGTCTTTAAAAAATGTATAAAAAAATATATATATTTATATATTATATATTATTATTATAATAATAATAATTTGAAAAAATCAATTAAAAACCTAATTAAAAAAATATCTCTATAGCCTCTCCATTAAAACATAAATATTTAAAGGTGGGGTAGGTAAGTTTGAGAAACCGGCTCGAGATACACTTTTTGTTATATTCCATGGAATGCTCTTAACATCCTGATAGCAATGAATATCTGAAGTGCTTTGACAACAAATCCATAAAAAAATGTCATCTGTGGAAGCCGTAGTACTGTAAAAAGTACGACCAATCATTTTAGCCGGCCCGGCTAAAATAACTGGATGTCCTACCTGCCTGTCAGCCTTCCATCTGTGCACAAACTTATCTCGTGCCCTCATGTGCGCGTTCGTGTGTGTTGGAGGGGGCTCTATAAGGAAGTGGCAGATTTTCTCCGGTTGTGTATTTTCAAATTCTAGCGATCTCGAGCCGGTTTCTCAAACTTACCTACCCTACCTTTAAGTTATCCTTGTTACTTAAAAAATGTATAGTATATACAATATAATTTCAAGTAACAATTTGAATATGTATCCATCATGTTAAGAAGAACATTTAATAACGCCAGCATTGAGACGTAGGTGGTGCTTGTTTTCCTCACCTGGCCCTGCCAGTCGGAGGTGTTGATGAGGATGATGCTGTCGGGGAGCTGGTTATCAGAGACCAGGATGTGATTCAGCTGATCGTACACCGTCTTCCTGGGGATCTACGGAGGGAAAACAACCTGTAACTAACAGGTATCACAAGGGAACCCCTGACTTCATTACTGACATTAACACAAGTCTTTTTATATTATTATTATTATATTTTCTGAAATGTTCTGTTTAAATATGCAAATGAGGAAGGATCTTATTGGATACGAGCTACTTTGCATTCATTTCCGTCACAGAAATGTGAACATTGGATAAAACCAGGTTCAAAATCCCTGTTTTTTCGTTTTGTCGACATATTAGAGTCAAAGGTTTTTACAGAGGGGATTCTGGATATGTCTCGGTATCACTCCATTAAAATACTGCCAGTAAAAGTGATTTTCTGCATGTTTTCAGTAATAAAGTGTGTATAAATTAGTGTGTGAATGTTGTGTAAATCTTCAGAGTATATAGAGAGGAATGAAGGCGGACAGCTGGTGTCTGTTAGAGATTTCTGTTGAGAGACTAGGAGAGGAAACAGCCTTTAAAGATCTGGATGGTCAAATTCACACATGTTGCACACACTACATGTGAATAGGGTAGAACATGTACCTAACAGATATCACCATGAAACTTCCTCACCTAATTACTGACATTAAAGGTCACCTATTATGCAAAATCCACTTGTTCATGTCTGTTATACATCATCATGTGTCCCCTCTGTGTAAAGAGACTCTGAAAGTTTCAGGAACAAAGATTCTCTCTCTTTTTGTCCTGATCCATTTATATAAAAACCTGTCTGAAAATGAGCTGATCAGATTTTGGCCACTTTGTGATGTCATAACGATGTTTTGTCTTGTGTAACCATTAGCCAATCAGCAACCAAGGTAACCCCCCCACCTTATCACCTGAATCTCCTCCTAGAGCACCATTGAGTTCTTTTTAACCAAATATCTCTCAGAGGGGCGTGGGGAGGGGCTCCTTATTTTCATCTAAAGTAACAGACAGAGAATCAGCACTTTTGAAACAGGGCTGAAACAGAGGGGATTATGGGATGCTGCAATGATCTGTTTGGTGTTTGGAGCCAAACAGATCAGAGACATGTTTTGTATATATCTGAGACCTTTGATATATTGATGAAAAACAGTATAATAGGAGACCTTTAATTTTCTTTTAATGCATGCTTCTTAGTTAACATTAAGCTGGCTATTGCCCTCTGTGGGAATAATAAAGGTGATTCTGATTGTGTTCCGACTCCGACCTGCAGGTGGCAGCGTGTGTCCAGCGACCGCTCGTTGTCCAGACTGTTCGCTCTCTCGTTCTGCGGTCGGCTCGGCTGGCGCTCCTTCAGTGACGTGCTCCGACCGCGACGCCCCGCCAACTTCGGCTCCTGCCTGGAAACAACAACAACATTCAACACACAAATTGTAATTTAGGAAACAACATGTAGATATATAATACTAATAATATACATACACTTATGTTGACTAATTTATTTCCTATTTCTCCCCTTTAAATGACATTTATTTATTGAATAAAAAACCTGAATTGAAAATGTTTCCTATATATACAGTATATACAGTATACATGTCAGTTAAATGTCAATTTACCATCTTTAAATGTTTTTAATAAGCATGTTATATACTGTGTTATAGTTATATATGTATTTTACCTGTTTGAGGAGATTATTAGAGACTCTGTCTTCGTCATCTTGCCGATGGGAGGAAGTCTCTCCAGAAACGTGTCCATGTTGTCCATCTCCAGCTCCGTGGTGGGGGTCACCGCCTCCGGCTCATCCTGAGGGGAAACATGGAGAAAAAGAGATGATTTTTAGATAAGATAAGATAGAAATGTATTAATCCCGAAGAAAATTGTTGTGCCAGAGTTACAAAAATACAATAAACACAGCAGGATATATCTACAGGAAACATAGACAGACACATAGTTAATGTAAATATTAACAGAAAGTGCATTATTCCTTTTTCACACCTTAAATGTCATTAATGACTGCAGACCTAACTATTAACGGCTCAATAGGGTCTTCTTTCTGTATGTGACTGAATTTCTGCAGTTTTAAATGCTAAAAAGTGCTTATTTTCACTTGTTATTACATGACAAGAATAATGGTCTTGAGTTTGAAGAGTTAATATACTCACAAAGGAGATGATATCCGACACGGCGTCATCTGGAAATTTGAGCCCGGCACTCTTTGTTTTATCTGGGTCAATCTGCAACCACACGGTGGGAAATATAATAAACCAGAAGTTTTAATTTCACAGAACAAGTAAAGAGTTTGTTTATTTAAAACCTTGTGATAGATTCCTGTACAGCAGAAGCCTTGAGGTTCCACAAATAGACGTTATCAGGTGATAAATGGTGGGAAAATCTGGCTTTACACTGGTTACACAGATCCAGCTTGAACTTTATCACTGTCTTATTAAAGGGGCCCTATTCTGATTTCAAGGATTTTACCTCACCTGTAGAGTGTTCTGTACGTTTTTGTGCATGTCAATGGTCTGCAAAGGCTAAAATAATAATGGCCATAGAGCTCCAACACATTGTACGTTCTATGCTAAGGGGCGGGACATCTCTAAGCTGTTGACCAATCACAACAGAGCCAACTGGAACATGTTTAAGTATTATTTGTCTCATACTGTCTGTCTAAAAGGCTAAATGTTTGCGTCTTTACGCCCCCCTCCCAAAAAAAGGGGGTAGATCTCAAGCTGTCAGACTATAGCCTGCATAAAGTATGTGTTGTTAGGGACTCCACATATACAAATGCTTTATATACAAGCAATGAAAAAGTGAGTTTTTCATTAATGTCCCTTGAAAAAGTTGTATTAACAGCAGTGGTTTCTCACCGGGCTCGGGGGCTCTCGGTGACTCCGGACGCTGTGGAGGCTGCCGATCTCCGTCTGAGAGCTGGAGAGAGAAACACCCTCGAAATATGGCCTGAAACACAAGAAAACAGAAAATAAATTACTTTAAATCAACATGAATGCTCTTCTGAGTCTGAGTCATTCCTCATTCCTGAAGTTCTGTGGACAGGAATGAGTCCTAAACCCTGATATGACTCAGCATTTTGTACTGTAGTTCCTTTATAGCCCAACATTAGGCACCTTTAGCTTAGCGGTGGTGACATGAAGTCATGTGACCGTGCTGTAGTTCCTTTATAGCCCAACATTAGCCACCTTTAGCTTAGCGGTAGTGACGTGAAGTCATGTGACCGTGCTGTAGTTCCTTTATAGCCCAACATTAGCCACCTTTAGCTTAGCGGTGGTGACGTGAAGTCATGTGACCGTGCTGTAGTTCCTTTATAGCCCAACATTAGCCACCTTTAGCTTAGCGGTGGTGACGTGAAGTCATGTAACCGTGCTGTAGTTCCTTTATAGCCCAACATTAGCCACCTTTAGCTTAGCGGTGGTGACGTGAAGTCATGTGACCGTGCTGTAGTTCCTTTATAGCCCAACATTAGCCACCTTTAGCTTAGCGGTGGTGACGTGAAGTCATGTGACCGTGCTGTAGTTCCTTTATAGCCCAACATTAGCCACCTTTAGCTTAGCGGTGGTGACGTGAAGTCATGTGACCGTGCTGTAGTTCCTTTATAGCCCAACATTAGCCACCTTTAGCTTAGCGGTGGTGACGTGAAGTCATGTAACCGTGCTGTAGTTCCTTTATAGCCCAACATTAGCCACCTTTAGCTTAGCGGTGGTGACGTGAAGTCATGTGACCGTGCTGTAGTTCCTTTATAGCCCAACATTAGCCACCTTTAGCTTAGCGGTGGTGACGTGAAGTCATGTGACCGTGCTGTAGTTCCTTTATAGCCCAACATTAGCCACCTTTAGCTTAGCGGTGGTGACGTGAAGTCATGTAACCGTGCTGTTGTTCCTTTATAGCCCAACATTAGCCACCTTTAGCTTAGCGGTGGTGACGTGAAGTCATGTGACCGTGCTGTAGTTCCTTTATAGCCCAACATTAGCCACCTTTAGCTTAGCGGTGGTGACGTGAAGTCATGTGACCGTGCTGTAGTTCCTTTATAGCCCAACATTAGCCACCTTTAGCTTAGCGGTGGTGACGTGAAGTCATGTGACCGTGCTCTAGTTCCTTTATAAAAATCAGAAAGTGGTGTTAATATGTGGAGATTATCCTGCTGAACAAAACGTGTAAGTAGGCTATCATAAACGTTTGTTGGACACAGAGATTACTTCTGACATAATTCAAAATCACAACCAGGGAGATGCTGCCTTCAGGGAGCAACACAGAAACACCACATTCAGGTATGTTCAAACACACTCAAGTGAACACACACTTGAGTTTGGGTTTGGGCGTGCTCAGGACGCTGTCGTCGTCGTCCAGCTCCGGCCCGCTGTCGCTCGGGTTCTCAAACTCCACGCTGTCCAGATCCAGATCCTCCTCCTCCACCTCGGGGGGGGGCTCTGCAGGGTCCTGCTCTGAGTCCAGCACCTGCACACACACACACACACACACACACACACACACACACACACACACACACACACACACACACACACACACACACACACACACACACACACACACACACACACACACACACACACACACACACACACACACACACACACACACACACACACACACACACACACACACACACACACACACACACACACACACACACACAAAACACAGTTAGGGATCTAAACTTGAAGAGCAACACAAGCAGTGGTAAAAAGTAACTTTCACTTGAGTACTTTTTTTCAAGTTTATGCTACTTTCTACTTCTTCTCCTTGCAATGCAGAGGTGACTTTAAGAATGGCACCTATCCCTCACACTGCTCCCCATTGCTGTATAATAGCGGCTGCTCCTAATGTCAGTGTGGGGGCAGTGCTGTGTTTGGTGATAAAACGTGGATTTAATATGAATCCTATGCAAAAGAGTTGAAAGCACACAAAGAGTTATTTACAGCTTTAATAAGGTCCATTGGGTTATGGACGTGTCGCTGCAACTGTGCATTTATCCAGTCGTAGGCTCACTACTTCCCAAACATATGCATTTTTCCTATTGTAAAAAAAACCTGCTGTAAAACACCATGAACACTTTGAGGTAGACGGTATTTATTTTAGTAAAAGATCTGAACGCAGAAACACTCACCTCTTCTGAGACTCTGAAGCGCTTCAGCAGGGCGACGACTCTCTGCTTGAAGTTCTGCTGCTAAAACACACACACACATACACACACACACACACACACACAGTTAAGTGAGTGTGAGCCTATTATAATTTACTACAGTGCTCAGCTACACACAGCTGCAGATTTAACCGGCAGCAGAAGCCTGTATTGATTTCCCTGCATGTGCTCATGTGAGTCAATAATCAGAAACATCATCTGCTTTCTGAGGGTTCTGCTTCTACTGAGCTCTATAGAACCATGTTATTCACATACAAAAACACACGACAGCTGTCTCATCAAAGCTCATGTTTCTATGACTTTCTATTACTGTTTTCTACTTTCTTTAAACTCTATCTTGGTCTCTTACTCTGGTGATGGACGTCGTCCTCACGATGGACCTCCTCTGCTTCTTCGGCTTCCTCACGTCGTACTCGTCATCCTCCAGATCCTGAAACAACACAGGGACGTTTAAACACAGCCTCTCATGAATAGAATAGAATAGAATCCTTTATTGTCATTATACAGGTACAATGAGATGAGTAGAGCTACTCCTTTTTTTAAGGTGCCATCAAAAATACAAAAAACCAACAAGAGACGTAGAACATTCAGGAGAAGACAACCATGACGGCTTGAAGTTTGCCTTAAATGCTGCAGTGCAAATACAGATGTTGTATCCTAGCAGAGTGCTTGAAAGGTAGATTTGGTATTTTCCTAATTTGGACTTAATTTCGTTATGTTTTTATGTCCTTAAAATGTTGACTCAGTTAAGGAAAATTGATTTATGAGAGGTGTTTTCTTCCCTTAAGTTGCTTGTTAGTTTCAATTACTTAAGGGTGTTTTGGTGTCACTGATTTTACCTTAAGGAAGCTTTAACATTACATGACATGTCACTTGTTAGACGCTTTTATCCAAAGCGACTTACATACTCAATACTGTGGGCAATCCCCACAGGAGCAATTTGGGGTGAAGTGTCTCAGGGACACAACGACATGCTGACTGCAGTGGGGTTTGAACCTGTGCTCCCCTGATCCGAACACCAACGCACAACCCACTGCACCACACGCCTACCCAACTTAACTTAACCCGCACTTAAAGGTGAGTCTTAAGTTAAGGTGTTTTGTTCGGACTCACCTGTCCCTGCACGGCGTCGTCGCTGGCCTCCTGCTCCGAGGAGAAACTCTCGTACTCTTCCTCTGAGTAGTTATCTGAAGACGAGGAGGACAGGAAGAAGAACACGCCATTATACATACTTTAATTTCTCTTAAAGGTCCCCTATTATTCTGTTTTTCATCAATATATCACAGGTCTCAGATATATACAAAACATGTCTCTGAAGTGTTTGGCTCCAAACACCAAACAGATCATTGCAGCATTACCCATAATCCCCTCTGTTTCAGCCCTGTTTCCAAAGTGCTGATTCTCTGTCTGTTACTTTAGATGAAAATAAGGAGCCCCTCCCCACGCCCCTCTGAGAGAGATTTGGTTAAAAAGAACACAATGGTGCTCTAGGAGGAGATTCAGGTGATAAGGTGGGGGGGGGGGGGGTTACCTTGGTTGCTGATTGGCTAATGGTTACACAAGACAAAAAAACATTATGACATCATAAAGTGGCCAAAATCTGATCAGCTCATTTTCAGACAGGTTTTTATATAAATGGATCAGGACAAAAAGAGAGAGAATCTTTGTTCCTGAAACTTTCAGAGTCTCTTTACACAGAGGGGACACATGTTGATGTAGAAGAGACATGAAGAAGAGGGGACACATGTTGATGAAGAAGAGACATGAAGAAGAGGGGACACATGTTGATGTGGAAGAGACATGAAGAAGAGGGGACACATGTTGATGTAGAAGAGACATGGAGAAGAGGGGACACATGTTGATGTAGAAGAGACATGAAGAAGAGGGGACACATGTTGATGTAGAAGAGACATGAAGAAGAGGGGACACATGTTGATGTAGAAGAGACATGAAGAAGAGGGGACACATGTTGATGTAGGAGAGACATGAAGAAGAGGGGACACATGTTGATGTAGGAGAGACATGAAGAAGTGGATTTTGCACAATAGGTGACCTTTAAAAGGCTCTGAATGTGCATGATGAAAAGGACACTTATGGGAGTATAAGAGTACCAGAGCATTTGATCTTGGGCCCCTCGCTGAGCGCCGCCTCCTCGTGGTCGATGGGCTGGCTGCTCAGAGAGAAGATCCAGATCTCCGCCACCTTCCCCTGGAGCTCCTTCTGATGGGAGCAGAGCGGGAGAACCTGGCCTCCCTCTGGGGGGTGCTGCATCACCTGGGGAGGGGGGGGGGGGGAGATATCCAGTCACTTTGCATCCCAAAATCATGCAATACAGACCTGTTGGAAAAATGGCTGTTTAAGAGCTTTTCTACATCAAAAATGCAGAAATATGAAGTTCTACAGTACACCCTATGAAAGACTAAACAGTTGCTTCTTTAGTCCTTTATGAGTGTGCCTGTAAATTGCAGATATGCAGATAATTATTGACATCATGCAAATTGAACCACGCACAGATACAGAGAAAAAGGCAACGAAATATGTTGTATTTTATTATGTAACATAACAGAGAAGTCAAAAGCATTCAAAGAAACACCAAAAATATATTTGTGTTTTTGTGGCTTTTTAATGGGACTAGTATATATTAGATTATACAATACCTGCTTTATGTTTCCTTTGTGCACACACAATGAGGTGCTTCTACAGACAGTATTTCAGCAATAACTAATAGAAAAACAGCTGTAATTGCACACAGTTTCCATGGCAGTGGCTGAAGTAAAACCTCCTCCCACACACTTAATTCGTTATCACCTCGTTTTAATACAAAAGAAAAAGCAATAAAAACAGGGAAAAATATGAAATCAATTCTTTATTTGACCACCTACAGTCCTTATTATTATTAATAGACTGATAATGACTTTCTGTTAAAGTCTCTTTTGAGTTTTAAGGTGGATAAATCTTTCTCCTCGTACCTCAGCTGCTGATTGTGACCTTAATTATCTCCACTGAGCTTTGGGAGCCACATGGGGTCTGATTAGTGCATCGGAGATTCAAGATACAAGGATTTAAAGGCGTTATAGTCACATGAACAACAGATACTGAGTAGTTTGGCAATGAAACAAAGCAATATACAATATACTTAAAGGGAAAAGTCAAAATAGTGCAAGAGAGACAATGTGCCAAAAAGTAAATAAGTGAACTTTGCACATGTAAAACTGAATAAAATAGAACAGAATGTCAAAATGAAATCTGAGCGACTTATCCATGCTTTCATTTCCTCCCCCCTTGACTACTACAACTCCCTTCTCTACGTCATCAGCTCACCCCTCCCTCAATAAAATCCAAACGGTACAAAATGCACCCCCCCGACTCCTCACACACACAGTACAAATACTTTGTTACTGTACTTATTTTTCTGGTATCAGTACTTTACTCCACTACTTACGACTTTTTACTTTGACTTCTTACATTTTGAACACAAATACCTGTACTTTCTACTTCTTACATGTTGAACACAAATACCTGTACTTTCTACTTCTTACATGTTGAACACAAATACCTGTACTTTCTACTTCTTACATGTTGAACACAAATACCTGTACTTTCTACTTCTTACATTTTGAACACAAATACCTGTACTTTCTACTTCTTACATGTTGAACACAAATACCTGTACTTTCTACTTCTTACATGTTGAACACAAATACCTGTACTTTCTACTTCTTACATTTTCCAAACAGGCTGGTTCCTTTAGTTTGAATGTGTGTTTGGTGGCGTGATCATTATTATTTAGAGTCATTGCGTGCCTATTGATTTGAACACGATCCGTGTATCCATCATTTCCTGGTCTTCTCTAAAGAAGAGGGACCAATGAAAACGTTGTCATTTTGCCGTTGTTCAGCATGGAAACATTCATTAGCTAACAATGACATTATTGTTCTATTAATATAAAGGGAGGTCAGGTACTCTTTAAAACAGCTGCTAGTTATGGGTACTTTTTACTGAAGTACATTTCAAAGCCCTCTTTACTTTTACTTGAGTAAAGAAGTTTAGTCAGTACTTCTACTTTTACCAGAGTATTTTTAAACACGAGTATCTGTACTTCTACTTGAGTAAAGGATGTGTGTACTTTTGACATCTCTGCCCAATCCTCAAAAACCTTCAACTACAACATACTGGTCCTCACCTACAGAGCCCTCCACCATCTAGCCTAAAAAAGCGCTATCAATTTATGTTAGGAAAATCTCACTGGTCACCGGCTTGAGCTTCAAAATCAGGATCCATGTATTTGTGATCCTCTCCAGAATGGAAGTAGTCATCACATACAGAGCATCAACTAGTTCCTGAACAGTGTCCTTCACATGCTGATATCCAAGAGAGGGAGTTACACAGTCACAAGATGGAGGAATAGAAAGCAGTATTCAATGTTTACTTCAGATTAGCTCCACGTCAGAAATGATCATGCTTGTCATATGTCTATCTCCATAGAGGCTGAATCATCATGTTAATCACATAGCTATCATATGCCTAAAACAGTCCTGATGCTCTTCGAGGTAATCATACATCCTGTCATGTACACAGCTACAGTTGGGATACCTTTGTTATCATGTGGACTCTGATATTGGAAGAGGACATTCAGTGTTTTCCCAACAATATATAATATATTATTATTACCTCTGCCATGTCGATGGACCCCCCCGCGAGCGTCTTGTACCCCAGGATGGTTCTGTTCTTGTACCTCTTCCTCCTCTGCAGCAGGATCTGCAGCTTGTTCCCCTCGCGCTTCAGGAAGTGAGGGTACTGAGGGTCACATGACAAAGAGAAGCTGAATATCCTCTTATTTTAGAAGCTAGAATCAGATAATATCGGATGTTTGTTCTTGGAAAAAGACTGACAACGATTATTTGTATCTGCATTACAGTAGGCATGTATTCTTCTGTTGATTGACCAATCATTCAGCTCTATTCAAAACTAAAAACAGGTGTGTCTGATCTTGATTTGACTGACAGCAAAAAAGGAAATAACTGTCATACAGTTTTGATTTAAATGCAGATAATTAAAATGACATTTTGCAAATTGAACCACGCCGAAATACAGAGATAAAGGCAACTAAATGTAAAATAACCAAATCTGTTTAAAAAAGAGCAGAAAATATATCGTTTTTTGTATTATTTAACATAGATGAGAAGCCAAAAGCATTTAACATATGTGTTTTTTGAGCTTTTTACAGGACTTGTTAATAATAAAAACTATATATTATGTTATATACTACCTGCTTTTTCCTTTTAACACTTGTTCCTTAGTGCACACACAATGAGGTGCTTCTCCAGGCAATATTTCAGCAATAAACAATTAAAAAAAACAGCTGTAATTGCAAACAGTTTCCATGGCAGTGACTGAAGTAATACAGAAAGAAAAAGCAATACAAACAGGCAAATGTTTAATATTAATAAATGGTTTATTTGACCACCTACAGTTCTTGATTATAACTTGACTGATAATGAGTTATTTCATTTTATTGTGTACCTGCAGGGAGAAGGTGAGAGCGAGGTCGGTCTCCACGGAGCCTCCGGGCGGCAGCACAATCTCATGAGAGCGCAGGATACGCTTCGAGCCCTGCAGGAACATCATCAATTATAATAATTATAATAATTAGTTGGAGTGAGCCTTTCCTCTGGACGTTTTCTGCATCCCTGCTGATGTGTTGTGCTTTGTTATATTATGTTAAAGGTCCCCTATTATACTGTTTTTCATCAATATATTATAGGTCTCAGATATATACAGAACATGTCTCTGATTGGCTGAAACACCAAACAGATCATTGCAGCATCCCATAATCCCCTCTGTTTCAGCCCTGTTTCCAAAGTGCTGATTCTCTGTCTGTTACTTTAGATGAAAATAAGGAGCCCCTCCCCACGCCCCTCTGAGAGAGATTTGGTTAAAAAGAACACAATGGTGCTCTAGGAGGAGATTCAGGTGATAAGGTGGGGGGGGGGGTTACCTTGGTTGGTGATTGGCTAATGGTTACACAAGCCAAAACATCGTTATGACATCATAAAGTGGCCAAAATCTGATCAGCTCATTTTCAGACAGGTTTTTATATAAAAGGATCAGGACAAAAAGAGAGAGAATCTTTGTTCCTGAAACTTTCAGAGTCTCTTTCCACAGAGGGGACACATGTTGATGAAGAAGAGACATGAAGAAGAGGGGACACATGTTGATGAAGAAGAGACATGAAGAAGAGGGGACACATGTTGATGTAGAAGAGACATGAAGAAGAGGGGACACATGTTGATGTAGAAGAGACATGAAGAAGAGGGGACACATGTTGATGTAGAAGAGACATGAAGAAGAGGGGACACATGTTGATGTAGAAGAGACATGAAGAAGAGGGGACACATGTTGATGTAGAAGAGACATGAAGAAGAGGGGACACATGTTGATGTAGAAGAGACATGAAGAAGAGGGGACACATGATGATGTAGAAGAGACATGAAGAAGAGGGGACACATGTTGATGTAGAAGAGACATGAAGAAGAGGGGACACATGTTGATGTAGAAGAGACATGAAGAAGAGGGGACACATGTTGATGTAGAAGAGACATGAAGAAGAGGGGACACATGTTGATGTAGAAGAGACATGAAGAAGAGAGGACACATGTTGATGTATAATAGGTGACCTTTAAGAGAGCACATTATACCTGTATTTTGACGGCGATCACCACTGAGATGAGCTCCTTGTCGATTTCTCTCATCACCACCAGCTTCTTCAGAGTCAGCGTGCACAGCCTGCAGAGAAACACACAAACACAGGTTTAGTATACACAGCTGTGTGTTAGAAATATGTACACACACACACACATGCGTCACTCACAAACTCACAAACTCACAAACACACACACACACACACACACACACACACACACACACACACACACACACACACACACACACACACACACACACACACACACACACACACACACACACACACACACACACACACACACACACACACACACACACACACACACACACACACACACACACGCGTCACTCACAAACACAGCTGTGTGTTTATTAAACACAACAGAGTGAAACACACACAAAGCACTCCTACTGTAGCTTTCAGAACATAAAACTCAAATGTCTCCTTATTTATGCTTTCATATTCACACATTAGAGAAATTCTTTAATGTATTTTAACAGTGGCTTAAAAGCGGCATTCAGGTTCAGGTTGAGGTTATTTATTGGTACTCGTAGGTAGATTTAGTTTGCAGATAAAAACACAAGGGATCCATCCCGACACACATTCTCAAAACAACAAACAGACTCCTATAAAAGTAAACCCTGCTCCGTCACCTCTGAAAACATTTAAAAAATACAGTAGTACAAACAAGGGCATTCGAAGTTAATCAATATCGAGACCAAGAAAGAAAAAGTTTTCAAATTTCCTTTTTTTTTTTATCACACAAGTCTTTAGGGTGGTATAAACATAATGACTAACAAAAACTAAGTACAAGTATACAAGTACAAGTATACAAGTACATTTAGACAACATTAGAGCACAACAACTCAATGCAACAAATACTGAGCCCTCATTTGTAGTACTCCATCCTTTTTTGAAATGCAGAGATACATCTGACACTTGAGGCACTTGATGTATGTGTTCCCCGTGCATCCGTCTGCCATGAACCCTACAGAAACCTACGTGTTAGTTTGGCCCGTAGTGGACTCCATTTGTGTTGTGTAAAATGGGGGAATAAAAAGTTAGCAAATCCCCATGTCCTCCTCAGAGGACATTCATAAAAACATTTAGTTTTAGGTCAAATAATTATTACACTAACTCCTAAGATGTTCCTTTACTATAATTAATTAAAATATTGACCTCACAACACTGGTAATTACAAAATTACAAACTTACCATTTCTCTTTCTATAAATAGTGCTTGTGTTGATGGACGCCATTTTGAAATACAATACACCCCCACATATGTCACATGTCTGAAAAGCCCAGGAGTACAATTGGACTTAATGCTGTGGCATGTATAACCTCAAAGTAATGGACCAAAACCCAATGTGCTCCACAGAGGACAAAAATGAATGGGTGGGTCTCTGGAGGATAAATAAATAGGCATCTGTGTGACACTGCTACGACTTATTCCTCTGTGCGATAGCTGCCGATATAAAGCTGTTTTTATTATTTTGATCAAAAAGTGCATTTTGCGTGATAGGTCCCCTTTAATATGGCTTTTAATTTGGGTTAACTTTCAATGCTCAATAGTATCATTGTCCATGTTTTACTGTATTTTTTCTGTTTTGCTTTTATTTTACATTTTTAATTTAATTTTTTTAATTGTTTTATTTTAACCTATTTTAATTTCTTGTCAGCTTTCATTCAAGGGAATTTCAATAGGATGTTTTATCTTGTTCTGTATTGATTTTAATATTATTTTAATATTGTTGTTATGTTTTCTGTAAAGCATTTTGGGATGCTATGTGCATGAACGGTGCTATACAAATAAAGTGTATTATTGTATTTAGTTCTGCTACGTATTCTTCTTTCTGTGTCTCTGTATGCACCTCATATATAAAAGCAAATTCCTCCGAATGTATTGTGGATAAAGACAAACCAAATGTAAAAGACTAGTTTAATGTGTTAATGCATGCTGAGCTCATCCCTCTTCCACCATCATATGGGGGAGGGGGGGTTATCGTTGGGGCGACACGCTGCTTTAACACACCCGTCACGATTTTTTGAGAAACTTCATCAAAAGAGCAGAGTGAGAAACAAACAGAGGCTTTTCTTCTGAGGGTCTTTTGACTGAGTCCTGCTGTGAAGAGGCCATTTATCATCCGCTCTTTATCTACGGCAAGATCTCTAGAAACGCTGGAATGACATCACTGCTGAAATATTTTGGAGCAAAACAACAAACTATTCAGTGTTTTCTATCAGTGGGAAAAGATGTCCAACAACAGCAAAGGGTTATTTTACACAGAATGAAAGATGTTGGTCAAAGAGGACTCTTTAAGTAGAAACACTCCATACTGATATACACCTGAACATCAGCAGGAGAGGACTCTTTAAAGTAGAGACACTACATACTGATATACAACTGAACATCAGCAGGAGAGGACTCTTTAAAGTAGAGACACTATATACTGATATACACCTGAACATCAACAGGAGAGGACTCTTTAAAGTAGAGACACTACATACTGATATACACCTGAACATCAGCAGGAGAGGACTCTTTAAAGTAGAGACACTACATACTGATATACAACTGAACATCAGCAGGAGAGGACTCTTTAAAGTAGAGACACTATATACTGATATACACCTGAACATCAACAGGAGAGGACTCTTTAAAGTAGAGACACTACATACTGATATACACCTGAACATCAGCAGGAGAGGACTCTTTAAAGTAGAGACACTACATACTGATATACACCTGAATATCAGCAGGAGAGGACTCTTTAAAGTAGAGACACTACATACTGATATACACCTGAACATCAGCAGGAGAGGACTCTTTAAAGTAGAGACACTACATACTGATATACACCTGAACATCAGCAGGAGAGGACTCTTTAAGACTTTTAAAAACTAGCGAGCACCTTAATTTCACTTCACTGAACTTCAGATCCCTTCAGACCGTTTCATTTTAAAGACAACCAGCCCTACTTGACTCTTGCACCCAGTGACCTTAGCAACATGTCCGCCATGCAGCGTTCAGAGTGACATAACGCTGAGGGGCAGCCATCCTCCTGCAGAGAAAACATAGGGACATGGAGGGATAACAATGGCCGGTTTGAAGACTCCCAGCAGCTGAATGAAAACCTTTCTCTCCTGTAGAAACCTCAGGAACAATGGACACTCACCACAGAACGCTGCATTGTCTCCGGCCCTCACACGGACAATACGCAGCACTGTTTTATCCACACTGTTCCCACAACACCATCTATTCCAGTTATGCTAGGTGGCTGATGTTGGTTTGCAGAGGCGGGGAAATGATATCTGCTCTGTGGAAATCACAATGGGGTTTATCGTACGAGTACTGAGTGTGCCCTATGAGCCAATCTGCAGAAAGAAGCAGCTACAGATGTTATTTCTCATGAAACAGCACTTTATCTGTAAGAGGGTCTGTGCTGACTTACTTATCTTTGGTTGGAGGCGTAAAAACTCTGAGATGAGAGCGACTTAAAGGACACTTTGTTGACGTTTTCAGGCTCCAAACTGAATTCAACTGGTGTTCATTTTGTCAGCTATTTTTATTTAACCTATCCCTGTGTCAAAGGTCCTTAATAGTTTTAATATATTAGTACAGTGCCGGTTGGGGATGTGATTGCTTCCTTTCGTCTATGTACGTGTTAGCGATAGCATCTGATGAATGATTTGGACGAAAATCCAAGTTCAGACAAAGAGTCTCTTCGTCATTTAAAGCCACAACGTTGGATAGGAACTGTTTTAGTGATCAGATTATATTGAACAAATGTGCTTATTCTCCTTCAGTGCTGCCACTGTAGTCCTGATTTACTTATCTTTGTTCATAAATGAGAGCGACTTAAAGGTTTGTTTTAAGCTTCAATGATTGTAATGTCATGTTCAATGTCTGTTCCCTGTGTGTGTGTGTGTGTGTGTGTGTGTGTGTGTGTGTGTGTGTGTGTGTGTGTGTGTGTGTGTGTGTGTGTGTGTGTGTGTGTGTGTGTGTGTGTGTGTGTGTGTGTGTGTGTGTGTGTGTGTGTGTGTGTGTGTGTGTGTGTGTGTGTGTGTGTGTGTGTGTGCGTGTGTGAGTACAGACACACACACTCGACACACAGCAGCTGTTTCTGTTCAGCAGGAGAGCAACATGCTCAGGATCAGCAGGACTCTTTTTAACAGCAAACAACACTTCTTCTGCCAACAACAACAAAACTACAGGAGGCTGATTCAGTGTCGCCGGTGCAGGACAGGACGTTTTATGTAAATTAAATCAAATGCCAAGTGGATGAATAGCTGCACATATGTCGTATTGTCACTGCTACTTTCTTAAACCTAGTTTTTTAGTCAAGTTCTGCACATTCCTGCAATTTTTAGATTTGTTCATGCATGTTTATACTCCTATTCTCACTAAAGGATATATTCGATTTAAAATGAATGCAATTAATATTACTTTCAATGGTGGGAAATAACTGAGTTAAAACTTTAGGTTTTTATAATTTTCTTGAGCTTTTAAATTCGATGCTACTTCATAAAGTCCTCATGTTTCTAGGATTTAAAGACTATAGCTTAGTGTTGGTAATAGAAATCTCAAGTCCAAGCTCCTCCGACAATGCAAATCACAATATAGTTAAAACTTAAAAATTAAAAAACATATAAAATACTGCAATAAAATACTGCAAATGAGAAAATGGTGCAAATAAAATGCATGAACACAGTCAATCCTTATGCATGTCAAATCCAAGCAGATAAGACAGTCTGTGAAATTGAATACTGTAAAGTTGCATAAAATCCGGTATATTGTAATAACATATGAAATAAATATATGTATTAAAGCTGGAGACAAGGCAGCCAACTAAATTAAGTATTTAAATCTTATTATATAGTTGTTTTATGAGGGATAGTAGCTATAGAGAGAAGAATATAATATAATATATCTTTATTGTCATCATACAAAGTACAACGACATTTCTTTGGCAACTCTCACTGCAGTGAAAAATATACACAATAAATAAATAAGAGTGGTAAAAGCAGAGGTAGTGGCTGCAGTCTTTGAGGTGTGTGTGTGTGTGTGTGTGTGTGTG